GGAAGACACGCGCGCGACCCGGAAGGCCTTCCCGCCACACTCCAAAGCGGGCTTAAGGGGGGGCCGATGGCGGAGGGAGCGGCGGAGGCCCCAGCAGAGAGTGGTGGCGGCGGCGGCGGCGGCGGCGACGACTCAGGAGCCGGCGCGGTGGAACGGGGAGTGGCGCCCATTAAAGCGCAGTGAGTCGCCGGGGCAGCGAAAGACCCTCACGGGCCTTCGCAGCACCCGTAGCGCGGCCCGAGCGGTGCATGCCGGGAGGTGGGGCAGCGGCGTAGGGCGGGAAGCGCGCAGGCTCTTCGGTCCGGGCTGTTCCTCCGCCCGTAGGGTCAGCGGCAGTGCCCGAGATCGCGCACGTTGGGAGCTGTCACATGCGCCCAGCACGCCACGGTGCATGCTGGGGTGGGCGGGGTTTGAGGCGATTGCCGCAGTGCATGTTGGGGACTGTAGTCCTGGCGTGTGGCGCGACTAGCGCATGTGCACCTCTATGCGAGTACCACGTGGCATGCTGGGAGAAGTGGTAGCTGTGGACCCCATTGCAAGGCATGCTGGGACGTGTAGTTTCCTTTATCTTAACGTGGCCAGGGGTGGTCATGCTTGGTACCTATTGTTTGGCTCAACACTCTGCGCCGTGGGGACCCAGGGGCCTTGAGATGATCCCAGGCTGGCAGCTGGCCGGTTCTAAGTAGTGAGCTCCCCATCAGCTGAAGCATGTAAGCAAGGACAAGTGTTCTAAGTCCTCTTCCCCAGCGTTCATTGAATCTGAGCCCAGAGGAGGGACTCCCTCCACAAGCCCTCCTTTTCCCCGCCTCTCCGCGGGCAGATACCTCACCACCAAGGAGCAGTTCCACCAATTCCTGGAAGCCAAAGGGCAGGAGAAGCCCAGCCGGGAAACCAAGGCAGGAGACCCTGGTGGCGATGACCTGGCTGAGCCTGAGGCCAAGCGGATCCGACTGGAGGACGGGCGGACGGAGGACCAGCAGACAGGGGACAGGCGGACGGAGGAGGCGGCCGAGCCTGGGGAGCAGCCGCAGGCTCAGAAGAGGGCCCGGGGCCAGAACAAGGGCCGGCCCCACGTGAAGCCCACCCACTATGACAAGGACAGGCTCTGCCCCTCGCTGGTCCAGGTGAGTGTGACCCTCCCCAGAAACTCCCAGAGGCCTTCAGTCTGAGCCCCCCCACCCGGATCCGATCCTCGTGATGCGATGACACCAGTGTCACTATTGTCCCATCTTCCCGATGGAGAAACTGAGGCCGTCCCAGCCTCCCTCGTCCTCCCGCGCTGCCTCCGTTTCCCCGCAGGAGTCGGCCGCGAAGTGTTTCTTCGGGGACGGCTGCCGCTTCCTGCATGATGTGGGCCGCTACCTGGCGAGCAAGCCGGCCGACCTGGGCCCGCACTGCGTGCTCTTCGAGACCTTCGGCAGGTGCCCCTACGGCGTGACCTGCCGCTTCGCCGGGGCCCACCTGGGGCCGGGGGCCCAGAATCTGGTGCAGCCGGAGAAGCTGGTCCAGGCCCCGCCCGTCCGCAACGGCCTGGACAAGGCCCTGCAGCAGCAGCTGCGCAAGCGCCGGATCCGCTTCGAGCGTGCCGAGCAGGCCCTGCGCCAGCTGAGCCAGGGCCGGCCCCCGGGCCCCACCCCCGCCACCCCTGAGGTCACCGAGGCCGAGGGTGCCCCGGGGCGGGACAGCTGTGATGCCCAGCAGGGCCCCCAGGAGCCGAGCACTGTTGCTCCTCCCGGCGGCCCTGTGCGGACCTGTGGGCCCCTGACGGATGAGGATGTAGTCAGGCTGCGACCCTGTGAGAAGAAACGGGTATGTATCTTGGGCTTGTAGCAATGTGGGGTCAGAAAGAGATGGACACGCACACCCAGCCCTGGAGGGTCAGACAGGAGCAGTGGGAAAGGCTTTCTGGAAGAGAGGGCATTGCACTTGGGGTTTTGACGGTTGAATAGAAGCTCTGCAGTGAAGGAGAATGTGTAAAAAAGAACATGCCTCATAGAAGGATTGGTTGATTCGTGTAGAGGCCCAGACATGAAAGAGAGCCAGACCAATTGAGGCAGAGCAAAGAACGTTCTAGACTGTAGGGAAAAGGGAGTCCCAAGAGGCCATAAAAGCCAGAGTACAGCTTTAATGTGGGTTTTCTTTCCCTCTAGCTGGACATCCGTGGCAAACTGTACCTGGCCCCCCTCACCACGGTAGGACCCACACGGGGTGGGCCGGGTGGTGGCAGCCTGGTCCCCCAGCAGCACCCAGTGTCCGCCCCCGGGGCTCGGGCGGGCGTCCGGGGTCCCCACCTGCTGCGCCCTCACGTGCACGTGCGTCCCCACTGCCCGCAGTGCGGGAACCTGCCCTTCCGGCGGATCTGCAAGCGCTTCGGGGCGGACGTGACGTGCGGCGAGATGGCCGTGTGCACCAACCTGCTGCAGGGCCAGACGTCCGAGTGGGCGCTGCTCAGGCGCCACCAGTGCGAGGACATCTTCGGCGTCCAGGTCGGTGCTGCCCCGAGGGAGGGACAGCAGGGGAGAGGAGGGGCTCCCGGCTCCCACCCTGGCCCAGCACCTTCCAGAGCCTTCTCGGGGCAGCCACCAGCCGGAGGGCCGGCCTGACGCTCCTCCAGGTCTGATGGCCTTGGCCCGGGGGCGACAGTCCAGACCGGCTCCTCATGCCCTGCCACCTGTCACAGCTGGAGGGCGCCTTCCCCGACACCATGACCAAGTGCGCCGAGCTCCTGAACCGCACGCTCGACGTGGACTTCGTGGACATCAACGTCGGCTGCCCCATCGACCTCGTGTACAAGAAGGTTGCGGCCCTGCAGCCCCCGAGCCTCAGTTTCCCCATCTGCCCCGCGAGGGCGGCACGGGTGTCGGGCCCAGCCAGGTTGCGGCCTCGCTCGCTCCAGCGTCCCCTCTTCTCTCCAGGGCGGGGGCTGCGCCCTCATGAACCGTTCCGGCAAGTTCCAGCAGATCGTCCGCGGCATGAGCCAGGTACGCCCTGCCACACCCCCCCGGTCCCCCCACCTGGTCCCCCTGGGGGCCCGCTGACCGCTCCGTCCCCGCAGGTTCTGGACGTCCCGCTGACCGTGAAGATCCGCACGGGCGTCCAGGAGCGCGTGAACCTGGCCCACCGGCTGCTGCCGGAGCTGCGGGACTGGGGGGCCGCCCTGGTCACGGTGGGTCTCGGCGCAGCAGGCGGCGGGGCTCGGGGCGCGCCAGCATCCTTCCTCACGGTCTCCCCCCCCGCCCCTCCTCCTGGTCCCCGGCTCCCCCTCCGTCTCTCCGTCTTTCTGTCTGTCTGTCTGTCTGTCTCAGCCCGTCTCCCTGTCTCTGTCTCTGACCCTGCGCTCCCGGCCCCTCCCGCCCCCAGCTCCACGGCCGCTCCCGGGAGCAGCGCTACACGAAGCTGGCCGACTGGCGCTACATCGAGCAGTGTGTCGCGGCGGCCAGCCCCATGCCTCTGTTCGGTGGGTCCCCGCCACTCCGCACCAGCCCCGCGCCCCACCAGGACCGCCTCCTGCCCCGATGGACGCGGCCCCCTGAGCCCCGGCTTGTGTCCCGCAGGGAACGGGGACATCTTGTCCTACGAGGATGCCAACCGCGCCATGCAGACGGGGGTCGCGGGGGTCATGATCGCCCGGTGAGTGTGCCTGGCGCCCGGGGGGCTGCAGAGAACCCTCTGGAGCCCCCCACGAGCGCGGAAAGTGGGGACGCATCTGAGCCTTGTCACAACCACGGGCTGCCTTGCCCCTGCTCTGTGCCCACGGTGGGGACAGAGAGCTGTCTGGCGGTTGCACTGGCGGGAAGGGGGGTCTGGAAGTTTCTGCAGCTGTGGCCTTAGGCTTGGGGTCTGCGGGCCGTGGCCCCGCTGGGGGTGGCCCGTGGGTCTGGAGACCGAGACTCCGGCCATCGAGCCCGCGCCCGCCCCGCAGCGGCGCCCTGCTGAAGCCGTGGCTGTTCACGGAGATCAAGGAACAGCGCCACTGGGACATCTCGGCGTCCGAGCGCCTGGACATCCTGCGGGACTTCACGCGCTACGGCCTGGAGCACTGGGGCTCGGACACGCAGGGCGTGGAGCGCACCCGCCGCTTCCTCCTGGAGTGGCTCTCCTTCCTGTGCAGGTGGGCGCCCGGCCGGCCGCGGGGGTCGCGCTGTCGCGGGGCCGCCCCGCCCACACTGTCCCCGCTGCCGCCGCCGCAGGTATGTGCCCGTGGGCCTGCTGGAGCGGCTCCCGCAGAGGATCAACGAGCGGCCGCCCTACTACCTGGGCCGCGACTACCTGGAGACGCTCATGGCCAGCCAGAGCGCGGCCGACTGGATCCGCATCAGGTGCGGGGAACAGACGTGCGGCGGGGGGGGGGCGCGCAGAGGACGGACAGTCTGGGCCTGCCGGGCGGGGTCCCCGCTGACTCTGCCCCCGCCCGCCCGCCCACCCTCTTCACAGCGAGATGCTGCTGGGACCCGTGCCGGGCAACTTCGTCTTCCTGCCGAAGCACAAGGCGAACGCGTACAAGTAGCCGAGGGGCGGGAGAAGACCCCCACGCACGCGGAGACAATAAATTTTATTCTTTTAAAATCGGGTTTTTCTGTGACCCTGAGGCTGCCCATTCTGCTCCCAGGAGCTTCCCCTTCACCCAGGCGTCCCTGTTCCCGGCAGCCCCCTTTCTCCGTCCTCACTCATTGATCGCATCTCCTGGCCACCCCCCAGGGCCCAGTAAGGTCTTGATAACAAGGAAGCCACCGGGGCTCTGATGGGGGCCTCGGCCTGCGAAGGTGTGGATCAGGGCGTGCTGCCTGGAGGAAGCGGTCTTGGGGCTGTCAAATGGAAGGCAGCAGACCGGGCCTGGGGTCTGCTCTGCTCTTTGTGGGGTCTGCCTCTGGCTGCCTTGCTTTCCTCGTCTGCCCCCGCCCACCCCCCAGACCCGGAACCCTGACCGGTGGGCGGGCCGCATCCTGGAACCCGCCGCCAGGAGCAACTGGGCAAACAGAACTCGGCGGGACCCTGAGCCCGTTGTCCGGGTGGCCGCCTCTGCTCCCACCTGCCACCCCCCTGACCCGCCTGGGCCAGCCCCCCGCCTCTCGATGCAGCACCCCAAACCCTTGTACGCACCCACAGCAACCCAGGAAGGCTTCAGCCCCCGGGGCCTGGACGGCACTGAGGGGCCGGGTGGCCAGCCTGCTCCCGCCTGCACGGAGCCCCTTCCTACCATGGGTATGAGCGAGTCGGGGGGCGCCTGATGGGGTGGGGAACCAGGGCTCTGCCCCCCAGCCTCGGGACCCCACCCACCCGCCGGCTCTCGTCCACAGGTTCCTCCAACCTGTATCACCCCCCAAACCCAGAAAAAGAGGTGTTTCCAGTGCCCCCGGCAGGTACCGGCCTCCCCCAGCCCTCGATGGGGCCCCCGGGGGTGGGCTGGAGGGGGCAGCGGCAAGATGGGCCTTGCCCCTAGAAGGCCCCCAAAAAGAAGGCCCGTCTCCCTGTCTCCCAGAGGGTCCCCCAGACCAAGGCCTGTGTCCCCCATCCTTTAGATGGGCCCCCAAGGCCGAGGCCTGTGTCGCTGTCCCCTGGATGGACCCCACCGCCGGGTGGTGCCCTGTCCCCCAGACGTGCCCCCTCCGTGGTCCAAGCCGCCCCTGGGGCGCCCCTCCGCCCGCAGGTTTCCAGATGGCGCCCTGCGGCTGTTTCTTCGACCCCCGCATCTACCGCATTGAGTGGGCCTCCGCAGACTTCGGCCAGTCACTGCTGTACAAGCTGGTGGTGGTGGGCGGCGGGGGGCCGGCCGGGGGCCCCGCCTCGCCGGGCACCTACCCGCTGGAGCCCCAGCGCTACCCCAAGGCCGCGGGGCCGCCCCCGCCGTACCCCCCCTACCAGCCGGTGCCCGGGGGCCCCCCCTATCTCGTGTCCTGCTTCCCGCCCGACGGGCCCGAGGCCCTGGGCTTCGTGGGGGACGGGGTGCCCCCCGCCTTCGTGGAGCTGCCCACGCCCCCGCCCCTGCTCAAGGGCAGCCCGGCCCCCCCTCCGCCCCCCAAAGAGAACAAGCCGCCCCCACTGCTCGTCACGCCCCCCAACGAGGCCACACTGTCCCCCGCCACCTACGGCCACTTCAAGGGCCGCCAGAGCCAGCTGCACGGGCCTGGGGAGCCCCTGGCCTTGGCCCCCAGGGAGCCCGGGCCGGGCCCGCTGATGCCCCCCGGGGAGCCCAAGGCGGCCGAGGGCACCCCGCTGGGGGCGGGCGAGGCGGGGACACCCCAGGCGGCCAGGGCCGCGGCGCTGCCCGACAAGGTGATGCTCGAGGACGCCATGAAGCTCTTCGACTGCCTGCCGGGCGTCCCCGGGCCCGAGGGCACCCCGAGCAAGGTCCCCGGGCTGCCCCTGCCCGACGGGGCGGGCGGCGGGGGCGACTCCTCGGGCGACATCCGCTCGCTGCGCCTGCCCGAGGAGCTGCTCTCTTTCGACTACAGCGTGCCCGAGATCCTGGACGCCGTGTCCCACGTGGACTGCTTCTTCAATTTCCGGGCCCTAGAGGACGAGCCGCCGCCCCCGCCGGCGCCCCCCGCTGCCCCCGCGCCCCCCGGCCGGAGGAAGGCGGCCGCCTCGGCCGCCAAGAAGGGCAGGCAGGGAGGCAAGAGCAGGCAGGCCACCACTGTCACCCCGGGGCCCAGGCCGGACCTGGGAGCCGCCCCCCATTAAAGCCGATTTGAGCTCAGCTCAGCATCCGCCGGTGGCATCGGGCCCCGGGGTGGTGGGTGGGGGGCTGGACGTGGAGGGTGGTCCCTTCGCCCACCCTGATGTCCACTGGGCCCCGGCCACGTGGTGAGGTCCACAGGACCCCAGCGCCTCCCGGGTGCCAGGCTTCCAGAGCAGAGCAGGGGGAGCCCCAGACTCCCGGGGGATCCTCAGTCTGTCGTCTCCCAGCCCCAGGAAATCGGAGTCGGCCAGCGGGGATGGGGGGCTTGTGGGAGGTGGGGAGATGCCCCCCCAGACTCCTGCACTGTAAGGGTTTATCACTCCTGTGTTTGGTGGAGAAAGTCAAGGTTGCTCAGAGAGGGGCAGGAACTTGTCTGAAGATGCACAGCAAGCAAGGGGAGCCCTAGGGAGTGGCCCCCAACTCCCTGTCTTCTGTCCCCATGAAGCCACAACCAGTGGAGGGAGGGGGAGGCCTTTGAGGGACCTGCGGGCCGGGCTCAGTGGGCCCCGGCCCAGCTGCCAGGGTGGCGGCGGCGGCGATGGTGAATGGAAGGTCCCTGCTTGTGTTCAGGCAGACAGGTGGGGGTGCAGGGGGCAGGGGGTGGGTATGGGCTGAGGGTGGGGGCTGGGCAGGGACACGGGAGAGGGGCACACAGTGACGGGGCCTGCAGGGTGCACCTGAGGCCCAGGTGAGGGCCAGGGCCCAGGGAGGGCACGTCTGTCCCAGGACGGGCGTCCAGCCAGGCCCCGAGCACTGGGTCCCCCACTGGTCCGGCTGTGAGCTGGGTCCTGTATCCCAGCTGGCAGCCACAAGGGACCCCGAGTTTGGGTGTCCATCACCACTCACACCCGCTCCCTCCTGCCCCGGCCCCTCCCCCTCGGCCCGCGAGCGCTCTCCTCCCCAAATCCCGTGTCCAGGCTCCCCTCCGCCTCTCAGAGGGCCTGGGCCAGCTGCCGGCCACACCCTGCTCCCCTGAAGTGCTCCAGGTGACCCCCAGGGGCCGACTGGCTTTCCCAGGTGACACGTCCCTTGTTCCCAAGCTGAGGGAAGTGGAGGCGGCTGCCCCACTGTTTGGCACTGGTCCCTCCATCCCTGGACCGGGCCCTGGGCTGTATGGGCTACAGTGGCTTCGTCTACACTTCTCCCCGCCCGTCTGTATCCCGTGTCTGTTCTCACCCGGACACCGGCCCGGAGAAGCCCACTTCCCTGGCTTCCCCCTGAGCCCCCTCCCCGCAGCCGCGTTTTGGGTCTTTCTGAGACTGAAATCAAGTGCCCCTGATGAAGGGCCTGGCAAACGGGGCAGATGCAAGAGGATGGACTCGTTTCTCTTTAAGATTAACCCGGACCAGGGGCCCGGAGCAAATGTTACGCGACAACCTAACACGGCCCCTCCTGGGAGGCCTGGGGGGTCACCGGGCCGAGCCAGCTCAGCCTGGAGGGCAGGTCACCTGCCACCGCGCTGCGTGCGGAGTGGAGGTTTCAGCGACTGAACCGAGACGCACAGGGGGCTCTGAAATGACCGTGGAGTCTTTCTTTTTAACCTACGAGTAGTCAGGAGAGTCGTGGGACCACCCAAGTGTTCACCCAGACGAGATGGCCGTCCCGTGCCACCTGAAGGGGGGGACAGGGAACCCTGCTGATTGCATCGAGGGAGAGGTTGATAGAATATACACGTGTATGCACATCGTATGTACATACGTACACACACCTCCATATATGTGTGTATACGCACACGTATTATCTATACATATATACAGATGCAGACACATACATATGCACACACACCTATACACATGTACATATATGCACAAGTATACATGCACGTGTATTATATATACATGTGCATATTATATACATGTGTACATATATACAGCTGTACACGTGTGTATATGCACCCATATTATCTATACACATGTATATATGCACACATCTACACACATGTATGTATGTATGCACACATATATATGCACATCATATACATGTGTGTACGTATATACAGCTGTGCACGTGTATGTGCACCCATATTATCTACACATATGTATGTGTGCACCCGTATACATGTGTGCATATTATATACACGTGTATATGTGTGTACACATTACACACATATACGTGTATTATCCATACACACGTGATAAGTGTACACATCTCTGCATGTGTATATGCACGTGTATACATATTGTCTACATACATTTGTATATCATGTATACATATAAAATATATGCTTCTGGGGCCGGCCCCGTGGCTTAGTGGTTAAGTGTGCGCGCTCTGCTGCTGGCGGCCCGGGTTCGGATCCTGGGCGCGCACCGACGCACCGATTCTCTGGCCATGCTGAGGCCATGTCCCACATACAGCAACTAGAAGGATGTGCAGCTATGACATACAACTATCTACTGGGGCTTTGGGGAAAAAAAATAAATAAAATTAAAAAAAATAAAATATATGCTTCTAAACTTTACTTATGCACACGCCCAAACACGCATGCATATGTTCACTCATATCTGTATCAGGGTTTTAAGCCCAGAAGAGAATCCCCCGGTCACCGTCCCCTGCAGTGCCCCCTTTCCCCGGGTCGTCTTCCCCAACAGAACAGGCGGCTGGGCCTCACCTCTCCCAAGCACCGCCCGTCATCCCACCGTGCACCAGGGCCAGCCTAGTGCACCAGTCTCCCCCACTGCTCCCACCTGCCCACCGTCCCCACCGACGGGGGGCTGCCCTTCAAGGGGCCACTGACTCGGGACATGGGGAAGGCAGAGGAGCGAAGGTGGGTGTCAGGAAGACACAAACCACGAGCGATGCACGCAGCCACCTGCTTGTTTTCACGTAACGCTTTATTTTAAGACACCTGGCCCCACTGGTGGCAACGAAGCGGCCTCCCAGGGCCCCTGGCCCTCCGCGGGCGCTCAGCGCCTGCCCCGCAGACACGCACACGACTGCCTGCATCGCCTGCACAGGCCCACCCAGAAGCCCTTGAACCTGAGGCCCTTCTCGGTGCCCAGCTGTTTGGGGACCGCGTAGGCCAGCCACACGGATAGCAGGGTGGCCGCCGTGACCAGGGCGACGGTGACCTCCTGCGGGATGACGGACTGTGGGAAGGCCCCATGGACGTACACGCTGAAGGTGGTCTCCAGGTGGCAGTAGCTGCAAGGGGCGGGCGGGAGAGGCCGAGGGGCATCACCTCGGGGGGCCGCCTCCACCTGGGAGAGGAGAGCCGGGCCCGGCGGGGACACGGTACCCAAGTTCCATCTACGTCCACGTCAGCTGTTACCCATCCTGGGCCAGCCGTCCTCTTCGGGTATTTTGGCAGCGGTCGCCTTTCTCCCCAGGACCCCGTGGTCCCCTCCTCCAGGGACAGGGTCCCCCCTCCATGCCCAGGCTCCGTCTAGAGAGGGCAGAGACACAAACCACCCGCTCCACCCTGGAGCCCAGCGTGGGCTCGGAATGCTTGTTAATTGACTGAGTGAGCAAATGTCCTCCAGAACCTCACACAGATCTCTGCCCAGGGCGGTCTGGGCTGTCGGGGAGCTCAGGTTTACCCAGGACCTGCCAGGGCAGGGAGAACAGTGGGTCCCCCACGGGTGTGCGCGGTGCCCCAGGAGAGCCAGCCGGCCCCGCAGAGCCCCCCGGGGTCGGGGCAATCCGGCCGCTCACCTGTAGTAGGGGTCCACGATGGAAAGGAAGAAAATGTAGATTCCGTTCCTTTGGTCGAAAACGACCTTGTTTTGTGTCGGGCCACCCAAGATCTGATAGGGGACGTCTGGCCACCTCAGGGGGGCGTGGTTGTCCGGGTCGTGGCAGCTCACGTAGTTCTGGGGGGACAGAGGCGTGCCCACTGGCCCTGGCGCTGGGCGGGGCCGTGCCCGCGCCCACAGACGCCCACCGCTCCCCAAACCCCATGGGGTCCAGCCCGGGGCCGCTGGGCCTCCAGCCCGCCCCCGCCCTCCGGGCGATCGTGCAACAGCGTGCATGCACGAGATGCACCGTGAGTTGCACGCTTTGAAACGGTTCATTACGGGTGATGTGAATTGCACCTCGGTTTAAAGAAAAATAGCCACACCGACGTCACCCACAAAACAAATGAGCGAACTCACTCCAGCGAAGGGGCTGTGAGGACGGGGTGAGGCTGCCCGGGGTTAAGACAGAAAAGGCGAAAAAAAAGGAGCCGGGAGCGCGCGCGGGCATGGGCTTCAGGTGCGGGGAGCGCGCGCCCCCTGCTGGTGGCGCCGCCGCCTTGCGCCGCGTCCGCGCCCGCGGCCTTGGGATGCTCTGAGTGCACGGAAGCTATTAATGTGTTCCAGAAGGTTCCCAAGAGGACCAGCGCGATTGCTCTTACGGACGTCACGCCCTTATTTGGCAATCGTGGACCAACCCGTGCGCGGGATGGAGACGCTCGCCGAGCAGAAGGGGCCTGAATTTCATCAACCCCTTAAGGACGGGCTTTGGGATGGTTCCAGAATTTTGCACGTTATCAGCTATGCCCCATGAGCGCCTTGGGGCCTGCATCTCCGGACATTTGGACGATTCCCTTGGGAGAGGTTCCCAAAGGACTTTCAACTCGGCCCCACGGCCTCCGTGCCCTGACCCCCGTGTTCTAGATCGAATGTTGGTGCCCCCCCCAAATCCAGATGTTGAAACCCAACCCCTAAGGGGATGGTGTCAGGAGGTGGGGCCTTCAGGGGTGATTAGGTCATGAGGGTGGGGCCCCTGTGAATGGGATTAGTGCCCTTATAACAGAGACCCCAGAGAGCTCCCTGCCTGCCCCCCCATTATATGAGGACACAGCAAGAAGATGGTGCCTATGAACAAAGGAGCCAGTTCCCACCAGACACGGAATCTTCCAGCACCTTGATTTTGGAGTTCCAGCCTCCAAAACCGTGAAAACAAATGTCTGTTGTTTATAGGCCACCCAGTCTGTGGCATTCTGTTACAGCAGCCCGCGAGGACTGAGACAGTGGGTCCGAATGGACCCCCCAAACACACACACTGGCTGTGATCAGTCGTCACCATCTGACTGGTGACCGACGAGGCGTCGTTCGGACCCGTTTTGGAAGTCATCAAAGAGTAACCGTACCTCTCGGTCCCAGGCGAAGGGCCCCTTGTCGCCAGCCTGCTCCAAGATGGTGCTCCAGTTCTGAGGCTGGGAGCTGCAGAGCGCGGTGCCGGCCGTCAGCAAGTACGTGTACGTGAAGAGCCCGTTCACCTCCAGCAAGACGTACTCGGCCTCCACCACCTCCTGGAACTTTCCTTCCCGCCACCTAGGACACATGCACTGGGTGAGGCTGGGGGAGGCTGACCCATGGAGGCACAGCAGCCCTGATGTGTCATGAGGCCGTTCTGGGGGTGGTGGCAGAGCAGGGTGGAGCCCCTCTGGCCACACCAGGCAGACACATCTCAGATGGTCAACATGTGGACACGCAGCGGCTGGTGGGTCAGAGCGGGGTAAACAGGTAGGGTGGGGGAGCGGGCATCCAGTATTTTCTACACCGTGGCCACGAAAGGCCTCTCCGGGAAGGGGCCAATGAGCAGAGACAAGAAGAAACTGATGTGATATTCTATAACCGAATAATCTCGCTTGTAAAGAAGTAGATTCATTAATGAATAAGCAAGGAAACCCATAAACAAATAACGCTTCACCTCTGTCCTCTGATATTTTTCCGACATCTGTGAACATTGAGATTCACATGTTCACACATCTGTGAACATTTGGGGCTGTGAATGAGGGTTGTTCTAAATCATTCTTTTTTTCATGCACAATTCCGTTGTCTCCTGCCAGGCTGAAGCTTATGCCTCTGCTCTGAGTGGACCCTGCCCTCGTTCCTCACCCCTGGTTGGCATACATCCCCCACCCCATGGCAGCTCTGAGTTAGGGGGTGGCCGTCAGACCACGGGCTCAGTCCTGTGTCCGCAGCTCACAGTTCCGCCTGGGTGTGGGATTAAGGCGTGATGGTCTAATGAACCTAAATGTTTACACATGTAAGCTGGTTCCTGCCATCATTTAGTCAATCAACAACTATTTAGTCCGATGATCTGTGGGGCACTGAGCTGAGCCACCAGCCTACATGTGCGTATTTAAATTCATTCCCATTAAATAAAATGGAAAAGCCAGTTCCTCAGGCGCACTGGCCACATTTTGAGTGCTCAGTGGCTACACGAAGCTCATGGCTGCCGATCGGGTGGCGAAGAATTACGCAACATTTCCACTATTGCAGAAAGTTCTACTGGGCAGTGCCGGTCTGGGGCTACAACGGGGGTCCTCACCCCAAGGTGTCATGATTCCGGCCCCCTCGGGCCCTGGCTTAAGTGGCCCCACTGGACCATCAACCACCCACGAAAATCTGGAAATTACATATGGCGGGCGGTGAGGGGATCGGATGAAGGGAGCCAGCAGAGTCCACAGAAGGGGGTGGAGTGAGCGCCGTGGACTGAATTGTGTCCCCCAAATTCCTGTGTTGCAGCCCTGACCCCCAAGGCGACTGTATTTGGAGGTGGGGCATTGAAGCCGTAATTAAGGTTGGAGGAGGTCCTGAGGGCGCCCTGGTCCCACAGGAAGAGGAGGAGACAGACGCCAGGGTCTCTCTCTGCCAGGGGAGGCCACGGCGAGAAGGCGGCCGACGGCAGGCCCAGGAGGGAGCCCCAGGGGACCCAGCCCTGCGACACCTCCATCTCGGGCCTCCGGCCTCCAGGACCGTGAGACAGTCAATGTCTGTTGTTTAAGTCCCCAGTCCCTGGTCCATTCTCTGGCCACCCCAGCTGACCAGGCCGGTGGGGAAGGGAGGGCCTGTCTGAGTGGAGAGGTGAGGAGGAGGAGGCAAGAAGTGAGTTCTCGGGGGTCTGGGGTGTGGACCGGGCTGGGGAAGAGCGAGCGTCCTCTGAGGGTGACGGGGACATGCCGGCGGGCTGGGGGCTTACAGCTCCACCACGGGCTTCCACGGGGTGTCGTAGTAGACGAGGTGGGGGCAGCCCAGCTTCTCATACGGGTAGGGCACCACCAGGTCCACGGCCGCCCGCTGCCCCCGGAAGCTGGGGTCGTAGGCGTCCCTGTGCGAGAGCAGGAGGCAGAGAGGTGAGGCCCGCCTGGGGGCCCAGACGGCCACCCGGCCACCCGTCTGCAGCCTCGGCTGCTCCTCTGCGGAGGGGGTGGGTCAGACAGTGGGGGCATCTGAGGTGGGGGATCCAGAGCGACGGTCAAGAGCTGGGACCCCCCGTGATGGTTAGCGTTATGGGCCCACTTGCCTGGGCCACGGTGCCCAGATGTGTGGTCAGACGTTATTCTAGATGTTTCTGTGAGGGTGTTCTTGGGGGATGCGATTAACATTTAAATCCATGGACTTGGAGTAAAGCAGAGAGCCTTCCCTAATGTGGGAGCTCCTGAAGGCCTGAACAGAACCAAGACTCACCGACCTCTCTCTGTCTCTGTCCCTCCGTCTCTGTTTCTCTCTGTGTCTCTGTCTCTCTCTCTGTCTCTCCCTGACTCTGTCTCTCTCTAACTCTCTGTCTCTCTCTCCGTTTCTGTTCCTCTCTGTCCCTCTGTCTGTCTCTGTCTCTCTCACACACATCCTGTTGCTTCTTTTTCCCTGGAGGCCCCGAACACACCCTCCTCCGTGCCCCCACGAGGCCTGACCGAGCCTCCCTGTTAGCAAGCCCAACAGCCCCCATTTCGGCCTCGCCTGTGGGTCTGGCCGGGTGACTGGCTCTTGGCCCGTCTCCGAGGGGCCGTGTCGTATAAAACACCGTGAGTCTTCCCACGCCAGGGGGGTGTGTGAATGTGAGAGGGCCTCTCCGTGCCAAGGGCCAGCCACACCCCATGCCCGCTCAGTGGCACTCGGGACCAGCCACCCTGCGTGGAGGGTCACCTTGGCCTGCCACCCCCTCCTGCCCTGGCTGACAGCGTCTGGCCAACCCCGCTGCTCAGATGAGCAGGTGGCCGGGCTCCACGAGCTGGTGGCAGGCTGGCGAGGGGTGGGAAGACCGGGGATGGGGACTCTGCCACACCACACTGGCTGCGAGGGCCTGGCCACCTCCCCCACCTGACCTCTACCCCCTCGGATTCCCTACTGGCCAGATATCAATTTACAAAGGATTCTTGATTCCTCTTTAGCATGAGCCCCCAAATGGTCATCGGGGAGGTCAAGGGAGGGAGGGGGCGGAGGGACATCTCGGGCTCACCTCTCGATCACATAGCTGTAATTGTCCTGCAGGGCCACCGGGTCGAGGACGCCATTGTAACAGGCTGAGATTTCGCTGTGAGCAACAGAAGATGGTGAGAAGCCGCCTGACCCCACACGGCACCGAAGAATCGGGAATTCTTCCCTTTGACGTATACATCCCCATTGGTTTGATTTTTGAGCCCTTCTTACTTTCTGGTTGTGCAAGATGCTCCAGGCTCATCCTGCATCTTCCCTGCCTGGCCCAGAATCAGCCGCTGCTCCAGGGAACCCTAATTCCTTGTACTGGAGAATGATAATCGAGACCGAGATCTGGGCTGGGCGTCCTGGTTTTGAGAAAATCATTTCCTTTTACGGTTATCATCAGTGCATGCATCTTAAGCAAGGTAGTTCATTTTTGCCCAATTTGGGATTTTTAAGACTTGAATCCCTCTATCTGTGTTCTTTCGTGTCTTTCATCCCACGTTTGCACGATCCATCCGGGGGATTCTGTGTGGCTCCTTTTCATCGCTGATATCCCGTGGTATCAGAAAACCAGATCTGGTTGATGCATCTTCTTGTCAATGGATGTTTGAGTTGGCTTGCTTCCAGCTGGAGGCTATTAAGAATCATGCTGCTGGGGGCCGGCCCTGTGGCTTAGTGGTTAAGTGTGTGCGCTCCGCTGCTGGCGGCCCGGGTTCGGATCCTGGGCGCGCACTGACGCACCGCTTCTCCAGCCTTGCTGAGGCCGCGTCCCACATACAGCAACTAGAAGGATGTGCAGCTATGACATACAACTATCTACTGGGGCTTTGGGGAAAAAAAAGGAGGAGGATTGGCAATAGATGTTAGATCAGGGCCGGTCTTCCTCGGCAAAAAGAGGAGGATTAGCACGGATGTTAGCTCAGGGCTGATCTTCCTCACACAAAAAAATAAAAAATAAAAAGAATCATGCTGTTGAGAACATTCTGGAACGTGTACCAGTGCAAATGTGGGCGAGTGGAATTGTGGGTGGAAAGGTGTGCTTTGCACAGCAGCTGGAAAATGGACACACCCAGCAGCAGTGTCTGTGGGTTCCGGAGGCGGCCAGGGGGTCCCCATCCTTACTGGTCCTCGTGGCTGGCCAGGCACTGTGAATTTTGCCATCCTGGTGGGTGGGTGATGGTCTCTAATAAAAGTCTTTGTACATCTTCATGTTTATCAGCCATTTGGGTTTCTTTTCTTTTTTTTTTTTTTGGAAGTCCCTGCTCAAGCCTTTTGCCCATTTTTTTCCCTATTCCTCCATCTTTTTTTATTGATTTGTAGAAATTCTTTATAAATTCCTTTGTTGGTTACACATGTGGCAAATATCTTCCCCGCTCTCTATGGCAAAAGCTTTTTGTATGTTGTTTTAAAAGCCTTTCCTGAATATCTGTTCTAAATATATAATTTACTGTATCTATATATACAATATAATGTAATATATACTCAAGAAAGCATTTCCATTTTGGGGGGAATAAATCTGGTAAAATTGCCATCGGAGTTTACTACAGTCGTGTGTCGCTTAACGACGGGGACACATTCTGAGAAAGGGGGCATTAGGCGATTTTGTCGTCATGTGAACATCACAGAGTGTGCTTACACAAACCTAGATGGTACAGCTGGCTCCCACCAGCTCCTGAGAGCTGACTGTTAAATCTTCAGGAATTTTGTGAGCCAGCAGACGTCTCACGTTGGTAGCATTAAATCGGCCACAATGGGAACATCTACACCCCGGGAATCAGCACATGCTATGAATCAGGGCTCCCATCCCGCACCCAGAGCCGGCTGTTACATATTTACCAGCACACCACTGCCTGGAGGGGAAAAGGATGGCGATTTGGCCAATCTTCAGTTGTTTTTTTTTTGCCTTAGATGCTCATGGCTGCATTCTCTAGGCTAACTATGGATACTGGAGGCAAAGTTCGCAAATATTTCAGCGAGAGATTAAAACCAAAAGCCCTGCGCGATTTTAATCAAAATGAGGAATTAGGAGACGAAAAGGAAGAACTAGAACGAGCAAATGATTAGGGAGGAGGGAAAAGATGTGCATATATCACCAAATCCGTGAAGGAGGGGAGGCCACATGTCAGAGACTGGAACGGAATCCACTGGTGTTAATTACTGAACTGTTTATCATGGGAATGTTAAACATCTACAAAAGCAGACAGAATAAGGTCACCCAGCTTCTGCCATGGTGACCAGTCTCACCCCATCCCCACCTGATATCAACAACACACTTACTTCTGAATGACGATCTTTTTCTCCAGGTCGCAACCAACCGAAATGAGCGCCGTCTGCAGAGAGAGAGAGGCGGGGATGCTGATGGGGGTCCGCGAGGGCCGCAGACAGCCCGGCCACCGTGAAAACCTACACAGGGACACACTCGCACCCAGGAGGGACGGAAATGGTGAGCCTAGATCTTGACACAGTGACCCGGGCGCCTGGGAGCCGCTGTCACTGCGACTGCAGCTCAAGTTGTAAGAGGCTGGGGCGCAGCTAAAGTCCCCCCATCGCCCACTTGCCTCTTAGTGGCTTTGAAGAGACCTGAACCCAATTTATACAGCCCAGGACAATGCTTGGCACACAGAGGGCAAGAGAGAGGAAGGCAGGGAGGAAGGGAAAGAAAGAATGGGCTGCGATGAATAAACAGCAAGGAGGAAAGAGAGAAACAGCGATTTGGGGTTAGTGTGATGGCCTTAGGGACATGCTTCTCAAACTGGGGTGTGGTGGCACCCTTGGAAATATACAAGGGAGTCTGAAAACCACAGAACAGAGAGGCTTTTGGTGTTTGAAAAAGTCCCTTTATATCAAGACAAACGTGGATTTACCATGGAACAGAATGCAAGATTCGCATCAATTTTTTTTAAATTGTGGTAAATATACATAACATATGATTTACCATTTTAATCAGTTTGAAGTGCACAGCTCAGCGGCATGAAGCACATTCACTTTGTCATGCAACCACCCCCACCATCCGTCTCCAGAACTTTCTCATCTTCCCAAACTGAGACTCTGTCCCCAGGAAACACTGACACCCATCCCCTCCCCCAGCCCCTGGCCCCACCGTCTACTTTCTGTCTCTGTGGATGTGACTCCTCTAGGGGCCTCCTGGGAGTAGATCACACAGTATCTGTCCTTCTGTGTCTGGCTCATGTCACTGAGAGTCATGTCCTCAAGGTCCATCCATGTTGTAGTGCGTGTCCATATCAATTTTTCACAGCCACCGTGAATCTTTGAAGAAAAGTCCTCTTGCCGACCTCTCCCGCCCTCCGCCCTCCAAGCCCTCTCTGGGATGGCCTCTCACTTCCTCTGCCCTTGGGGACGCTTTGCTGGAGCATCTGGGAATTGCTGACTTAGAGGATTCAGAGGGAAAGCCAAGGACGCATCTTCCCTCTACGCCCAGAGAAGGGAGGGATGACATCGCGTGTGGGATCCAGGACGCCCATTGGCACTGACATGCTGCCACAAGGCGCGTGGATAGCTTCGCCTGCTCCCATGGGCCCTCGGGTGTCAGCCCAGCACACGGGGTGGATGCCAGACCCATCAGCGATGCTTGGCCATCTGACCGATGGGTGGCCATTGTCTGCCATGCTGGTGGGCTCTGTGGCAGGGTGCTGCTGTGCCCTCATAAAAACTGCCCTCTCTGGTTTAAGGAGGTTCGGAGGTGGCTGTGCCTTGCAGCCCAGATGGCCATCCCAGGGACAGCACCCAGCACCCAACCTACCCCGAGACTGGGGGGAAGAAACCTTAGAGACAACCCAACCCAATGAAGGCTTGTTCTTCCCCGGGGCCCACCATCCTATATTGCCCCCTGAAGTAACTATAGTTTCTTATTGTCTGTATTCTTGGCTCTGGCATCTGAGGCCTCGCTGACTGGGACTGCCCCTCCGGGGTTAGCTAATTCATAGAGATCGAGAATATTCGCCCAAGAGCATAATCCTCAAATGCAAACCAACCAGTCCAGAGCCCACGCTTTCTCTCGGGAGCACCGAGGAGGGCTGTTCCCCGAGTCGGCCAGAGGCTGGTCTGTGGATGACCAACAAGGACCAGGACTGATACACCTGCGCTGAGGATGGTGAGTCATGAGGGGCAGCCCTGGGGGACGGAGAAGAGGGAGGGACAGAATCACTTCCATTTCCAGGTCTTGAATGTGGGTTCGGCCAGCCCCTCAGGGAAAAGCCAGCCAAGGCCCGCTGCCATTCTTCTTCTTTTTTTTTTTTTAATTCATTTTTTTTCCAGCCAAAGCCCCAGTAGATAGTTGTATGTCATAGCTGCACATCCTTCTAGTCGCTGCATATGGGACGCGGCCTCAGCATGGCTGGAGAAGCGGTGCGTCGGTGCACGCCCGGGATCGAACCTGGGCCGCCAGCAGCAGAGCGCACGCACTTAACCACTAAGCCACGGGGCCGGCCCTGCTGCCATTATTCTTAACACTAATGACAAAGAATATGGGACAGCAAAAGGTTGGGACATACCAGTGGCTTGAGGTCCACACATGAAATTTCCTTGTTGGCTATATCCAGAGTGATGGTAGACATTGTGGGTCTCTTTATGCTGCAAGGCAATGGGAGTGTGTGTTATTGCACACCAGTGTTGCAGTAAAAAGCATTGTTGACCCATACATTCATCCATCCGTCATCCATCTGTCCATTCGCCATCAACTCATCCATCCATCTATCCATTCATCCATTTATTCATCCATCTGTCCATCCATCTATGCACTCATCCATGCATCTATCCATCCATTCATCCATCCATCCATCCACTCATTCACCCATCCATTCATCTATCCACTCATCCATCCATCCATCCATCCATCCATCCATTCACTCATTCACCATCCAGTCATCCATCCATCTATCCATTCATTCATCCATCCATTTATTTATTCATTCATCCATTCCTTCCAGAATATTGACCAAGAACCTCTGCTCACTCATGGTGGCTTCACCCTCCCTCGAGTTTCTGCCTCTTCTTGAGTCAGTTTTGTTAATTTATACATAATAACTTATTGAAAAGAACATCTGACCCCCAACTTTATTATCATCTAGCTGCATATAATGTTTCCTTATTACCCTTTTAATAGCTTCTGTATCCATAGTTTTATCTTCATTGTCCCTTCCTATTGTTCATTTTTTAATTCTCTCTTTTCTCCTTCATCAGGATTGTAGGGTTTTTCCTATTATACTGGTCTTCTGAAGAACCAGCTTTATGTTTCATTTTGACTGTCTTTTTGCCCTCTAGTTAATAAATTTCAGTTTGTATCATTGTTAATTCCCTTCTCACAATTTCTTTTTATTCTTCCTCTAGTTCTTTAAGTTAAATATTTAGTTCATTTATCTTTAGTCCATTTTCTCCTCTAATAATGAAAGTGCTTGGGATATAAATTTTCCTCTGAGTATACTTTAGGTGTATTCCATGAATTCTTTGATTCAGGGGTTATTTATAAGGGTGTTTCTTAATTTCCAAGGAAAGGGGATTTTTGGTATTGGTGTTGCTTTTTGTTTTTTGGTCGCTGTGTTCTGGTTCTGTTGGGTTAAGGTCTGAGAACGAGGTCTGAAAGTCTCTACTGGGAGAACTGATTTGTTTTTATAGCTGAGAACATGATTAATGGAGAGATTTTTAAAATAGACTCACCATTAGCATGAGAGAGGAACATATATTCTATATTAATAACATACAAAGTTCTTTTTTTTACTTTTCATTGACATTTTTCAGCTTTATTGAGGTATAATTGACAAATAAAATCATAAGATATTTAAAGTGTACAATGTGATGGTTTGATATATGTTTGCAGTGTGAAAGGATTGCCCCCATTGACCTAATTAACACATCCATCACCTCACATATTTACCTTTATTTATTTATTTTTCTTTTGGTGAGAACATTTGAGTTCTATTCTCTTAGCAAATTTCGATTACAGTACACAATACAGTGTTACAAAGTTCTATATATAGAATTAAAACATACTTCTTGTTGAAATATATACTCTAGGGACCTCATACAAGAGGAATCATATAGTATTTGTCCTTCTGTGTCTGGCTCATGTCACTGAGCATCATGTCCTCAAGGTCCATCCATGTTGTAGCAGGTGTCAGAATTTCCTTCATTTTCAAGGCTGATTAATATTCCAGTGTGTGGATGGACCATCCATCCGCTGATAAACACTAGGATTGCTTTCATGTTTTGGTTATTGTGAATAATGCTGCAGTGAACATGGGGGTGCAGATATCTCTTTGAGACCATGCTTTCAATTCTTTTGAATATTGTCAACTTAAAAAGTAAATTTGTGGGGGCGAGCCCGGTGGCACAGCAGTTAAGTTTGCATGCTCTGTTTCAGCGGCCTGGGGTTCGCGGGTTCGGATCCTGGGAGTGGACCGACGCACCACTTGTCAAGCCATGCTGTGGCAGCGTCCCATATAAAGTAGAGGAAGATGGGCATGGATGTTAGCCCAGGGCCAATCCTCCTCAGCAAAAAAACAACACACACACAAAAAGTAAATTTGCTGTTATTTTACCTCAGAATGAGTTTATTTTGGAATAGCCAAAAGAATTGCAATTCAGGATGTGCAGGCTATGGCAAACCATAGACAACTCCAGCAAACAAAGGAGGGGAGCTGCTTTTATAGAGAAAAGGGGGAGTAGGGCGGGGCTGTTCTAAAGAAAGTCCATTGGGGGAAAGTAACAATTCAGGGCAGCAGCGGCTTCTCACTGGCTGAGCTGCAGAGTTTCTCATTGGCTGAGCTGCAGCGTTTCTCATTGGCTGGACTGTTGCCGGGTGTGGAGAGAAATCTTCCTTCTGTAATAAAGTCATCTACTTCCTGTCCAACATGCAAGGTTAAGTCTCTTCCTGTTTGGTGTAATTGACCACGTATGATAGGGCATGAGAGCTCCCCATACAGGCCTTCCTGACTCCAATATAGTTACAGTTTCTTTTATTAATTTCCATAGTATACACCCAGAAGTGGAATTTCTGGATCATATGGTAATTCTGTGTTTAATTTTTGAGAAACCGCCATTTGCAAAGTGTTTTTAGTAGTTCTTGCCTTACTGTCCCGGGAATGGCGGAGTCTGGATCTCGGCCCTGCTTTCCCGGCTCCCGCTAAGGGAGCCCACAGACGGCCCAGGCCCACCCGCCACCGTCTGGGTGACAACCTACCTGGAGGTGAAGTTGGGGTCGGCCCTGCCCCAGTGGTGCTGCTGCCTCAGGGAAATGTTCTGCAGAACCGAGAGAGACAACACTGATTGCAACCGTGGAACAGCCGGGGCGGTCCCCAAACCAGGGTTCAGGGAGAGATGGAGGCTGGGGCGGGGGCGTTGGGAGGAGGGCCCCGGAAACCACTCAGCCCTCCCCTGGTTCTAATTTCACGGGAAGCCCGTGAAAGGCTTCCGGAAGCTCATGGAAATGATCGCCCCATACTCCTTCATTCCCTCGCTGCCTTTGTCCTGGGGACCCATAGTGAGATATGACTTTGTTTCCCCTCGTATTTAGCTGGGATGTGACAAAGACTGGTCCAAAATGTTTGCTGTGGCTGACTCATGCCTTGTCAGGCCCCTGTCCTGTGGAAACCGCCTGACCCCATCCCAGGCTTCAGGGGTCAAGTCCAAACTTCGTGGTGTGACCGTGAGGCTGGCTCGGACCTACGGCTCCCCGAGACCCATATTTGGCCAAGCCCCTCCTAGTCCCCCCTGGCTCGCCCCCGTCCCGATGCCTCGGTTTACCCAGCTAACATGGATCTCACGCCCTCCTCGGGGCAGGGTTAGGTTCCCTGTTATCCTCCGCGCCTCTCCTGTGTGACACCTTGATGATGTCACTCATCTGGGTGATTGCTGCCTACTCGGAGTGGGGAGGGGCAGGGCCATGTCCCCTCCAAATCTGCAGCGCCCTCCCCAGGTGTGTGCAGGAAGGGCAGGAGGAGGGAGGGTCAGGCCGAGGGGCCGGGCCCTGCATCTCACCAAGCGGTTTGGGGCGGATCAGTGGGCTCACCAGTCTGTGCTTGGTGTTCCCGTCGTAGGTGTAGCCGTCCTCGTAAATGACGGCCTGTAGCCCCAGAGAGTGGGGGTTGCTCACCATCACCTGGGGGCAGCAGGAGGGGCATCCGAGGTGCAGCGCGCAGGCACGCAACTCACACCCCAGTGCATCTTCAGACCAGAAACCGAGCTTGCTCTGCCAACACAGCTGCCCATGCAGTCCCCCAGTGCACCCCCCACCTCAGCTACGCCCCCAGTGTGGTCTCTGAGCCCCGTTCTTCAGACAGCCTGCAGCTGAAAGACCCAGGCCCGACCCTGGTGCGTGGAGGGGCCCCGAGGCCCACCCTGCAGAGGGAGGGCGAGATGGGAGACTGCTGGGTGAGAGCCAGAGCCAGCCTGCGGCCCCCAGCACGTCACCCCACGTCCTTACACCAATCTGCCTGCTTCCAGCTGGATTTCCTATGCCCAGGAGTCCAGACTGGGACACCCCCTGTTTCTCAGGCTCCTCCCAGTGCACGAGGGAAGGACGCATGAGTCGCGGCTCCTGGCTGGAAGCAACAGAAGCCGGCTCTGGCCGAACTAAGAGGAAAAGGAATTTGTGGAACAGATATGGGGCAGCTCAGACGAAGGGTGGAGAATGAGGCACAGAGAAAGAGAGAAAGGAGGCCGGGGAGGCAGACGGGCAGCCACAGCCCCCATCACGTCCAGACACGTAGAGGCCAGTGGAAGAGACAGACAGACAGAGTTTCTACGGAGCATCATGAGTGTCTCTCCACGGGGTGATGCCAGAGAATTTCCAGAGTCTGGGACTAATGGGCACAGGGGCGTGAGGCCAAGGATGCTGGGAGACCCACATATCAGAAACGCTTGTCGAACAGAGAAGATGTCCTTACGAGTGGGACCGGCGACGTGCCGGGCCGGGGTATCATCAGAGCGCTCAACTCCAACTGGCTGTTCATGTCAATGGTATACATTTTGTTTTCAAATTCTCCTTGCAGAAGTTCTACCTAGTTAGAAACGCAAAAAAATAAAATAAAAATAAATAGCGCCTCTGTCCCCAAAAAGAAAGGGCAGCTGGGCGGGAAGTAGTCAGTGGTCCCCGGTAGGGATGGAAGCTTCTAGTTGCTAGTGCAGCAGCTGCAGAGTATGTCCTGTGGGAAATCACCCCTCCACGTGTCCTTGGGCATGTGGCCTGGCCCGCTGACCCCACCGCTGTCTCAAGGAATGGGTTCTGATTGGCTGCCCCCTAGCCATGTGATTGGTCCAGGAATGGGTGTGGCATCCTCTCTGAGCCAATGAGATGTGGGAGACACACTGGGATTTCTCTTGGCTTCTGCAGGGCTATGATGAGAGACCCTGTCTCTTGCCCAGGATAATGTGTCAGGGTGTCAGGTCTGCAGTGTCGGTGGCCGGCTTGCTGCCGTGATGTGAGAGCCTGGGGCTTCCCAGGGGCATCAGGAGGAAGCACGGAGCACCCCAGTAGGCAGAGTGGAGAGATGGAGAGAAGCTGGCTCCCTGGTGGCTTGATTTGAGTTACTAGATCAAGCCTTACCTGAAGTCTTCCCCCTTCAGACCTTCTGGCTACATGAGTCAACAGTTGCCTTTCTGGTTTAAGCCCATTTGATGTGGATTTTCCGTCACTTGCAGAACAATGAATCCAAATCGATACATACATATTTCCATATTTCTATAATTTTTTCCCTCTTTAATCAGTCCGCTTGGCCAGGGTCAAATCTGAGGCCCATGGCTTGGTGTATACCTTGAACCCCATCGAATTTCCCTCTCCGAGACTCTCCAGGTAAGTTACTGTGGGACCATAATGGTTCATTTGACTACTTTAAAAGGGGAGTAATCCTGATAACCACACCGTTTATTTTATTCTGAACAATTTTGAGGGTTGGTTGACTTCCTTGTCACAAAGAACATCTAATAAAAGTGAAATATGTTTCTACTTGAAATAAGGGACATGAAATTGTACAAGATGAGGGTGCCAGCCTTTGGGGCTCTGGTTGCCAGATTTAGTGGTTTATGTGAAATTCAAATTTAATGTGTGGTTGCTGGCTACAAATGCCCAACCCTGGGTCTTTGGGATTTGTCTTTTTTGAAAAGAGTGCCTTGAAACATTGATCTGAACAGTGAAGATCACATACTTTGCAAACGTCCACTTGGAGCTGGGGATCCATGAGAATCGCCTGGGTATTCACGGGGCACTTCTGGAAATCGAACGCTAGAAAAACCGAATCAGGAAGCGGGGTCAGAATTTCCAGCATCCCCACGTTCGTGAACATCAGGGCTGCCTCCTGGGACCAGATGTTTTGGTCTGCAAACTAAGAGAAAAATGGTTTCTGAGATCAGGCCATTCTGGGTCTCTGAGGATTTAAATTTTAGCTTATATTTGGGTTTAAAGAAGGCAGACCAAACCAAGAAGGGAGCACAGCCGTAAGTACACTTTGCTGAGATGCCTTCTCTTTAGCTTCATTCATCCCTTGGTGGTTAAATTAATAATGGAAACTCTGGGTTTCCTCATCAGAGAGGATACCCAGGAAATAATTCTTTTTTTTTTCTTTTTTGTTGAGGAAGATTGGCCCTGAGCTAACATCTGTCACCAATCCTCCTCTTTTTGCTTGAGGAAGATTAGCCATGGGCCAACATCCGTGCCCATCTTCCTCTATTTTGTATGTGAGACGCTGCCACAGCATGGCTTGACTAGCAGCACATAGGTCTGTGCCCAGGATCCGAACCTGTGAACCCCAGGCTGCCGAAGCGGAGCATGCGGACTTAACCACTACGCCACCAGCCCGGCCCCAAGGAAATAATTTTTTACTTGCTCACAGGTCATGGACCTCTTTGGAGAGTTGGCTGAAAGCTATGGAACCTCTCCCCAGAAAACACATTGGTCATCAGAATGTCAGGGTTAAGGCCTCAAAGTGATGGTTCCCGTGTTGGTGCCCCACACCCAATACTCTCATCCTAATTCCATGGTCAGGCAACTTTCGGGAACTATGGTGGCTGCTGAGGTAGCAGTCAGCACATCTGGAGGACTTTTCTGGCTCGTGGCTGACGAGTTAGGGGCCTCAGGAAAGAGAGAAACTTGAACTTCAGTGTTCTCCCTTGTAAAACTGGATGCTATTTTCTCCTTCACGAGGTTGTCGTGAGGACGAAATGAAACAGATAAGCGAAATGTACAAGATAGTGTGAGACCATCCCCGCGCGACCACGTCCTCCCTCTGCGACCTCGGACGAATGAGGTCACCTCTCTGAGCCTCGGTTTTTCCCTCTGTCCAATGGGGACAATATACGGATACACATCTTAGGACGACAGTCAGGTAACAGACGGGAAGGCGCTCAGATCAGACCGGCCATATTCTAAGTGCTCAGTTTTGTATTTTAATAATTATTAAAATTACTATTACCATTAAAATGACTGAATATTAATGTTAATAATTTAATATTAATTAGAATTAGTGTTATATTGTTACTATTATATTAAAATACTATTACTACTTTAATAACTAGAGCGATATCTAGCTTTCAGGAAAAGGATCAGACATTTGAAAACAAGACCGTTATTCCTTACCGACCGGGTAAGAACCCTACTTTGATTAGAGAACTTGACAAGATTCCCAGGTTGCCATAGTATAAATTATTCTCCCGAGTTAAAACTGCCAGTTCATTTTCATCTAGGAAAAAGACAAGACAGAACAAAAATGGAAATGAGAGTTGTTTCAATGCACAAAAATATAAAAAGTTAAAAAAAAATGACCCTAAATTCCATCATGTAGACCTGGGGTCAGCAAACTTATTCTCTAAAGGACCAGATGGTAAGTACTTTCTGCCTTGCTGGTCATGTGATGTCTGTTTCAAGTACTCAACACTGTGAACGCAGCTATGGACACGTCGTGAATGAATGGGCGTGACTGTGTTCCAATAAAACTTTATTGACAAAAACAAGTGGTGGGCCGGATTTGGCCCTCAGGTCATGGTTTGCTGACCCCTGACATAGGTAACCACTGTTGACATTTTAGTAAACATCCTTTCCGATAGTTTTATGTACGTGGGATCATATTCTGGAACCCTTTAAGCTACTTTACAACCATTTTTTCTTTCCTGCCGTGTGCATGAATGTACCCAGATGAACCATGACTTATTTAACCAGTCCCCCACTGATGGACACCGAGGTTGCTTCCGGTCTTTTGCAGATACAGAGTTCCAAGGCACGCAGGACACCATTAAAAGGTTTTATGAAAGGGGGCGACGAGATCCAATGCATATTTTTATTCTTTTAAAAAAGACAATCAAGGACGTTTTGAGAAAAAGTGAGGCTTGAAAAAAGCCTCTGATGTAGAAAAGTGGAGGTGTGTTTGCAGAGCAAGGACCGAATTAACGTAGCTGAGGGTTTCTCAAACTCAGCTCACATTTGGGGCCAGATGGTTCTCTGTAGTGGGAACTGGTCCTGTGCATTATAGGGTGTTGAGCAGCATCTCTGGGCTCACCCAGTAGATACCAGTAGGTATCTACTATCCCCACAATCGTGACAACCACAAATGTCTCCAGACACTGCCAAGCGTCCCCAAGTTGAGAACCATGGGGCCCTCAGGGCAGTGGTGGGCAGTTGAATAAGACACAAGATACACAGACCTGAATGTCATCCTTGTGAGTTAGGACTTTATCCTTTACAAAATAAGGAACTATTAAAGATTCTAGACATGGGAAGCGATGTGTACTCAATGGTTTAATTAAAAAAAAAAAAAAAAGAAGGGAGAGGGAAGACAACGCATAGCATGGGAGAAAATATTTGCAAATCCCATCTCTAAGAAGGGACTTGTATCCAGAATATATAAAGAACACTTCCAACTCAATAATAAAAAGACAAACAGCCCAATTAAAACATGGGCAAGGGATCTGAATAGGCATTTTTCCAAAGAAGAGAGACAAATGGCTGATATGTACGTGAAGAGATGCTCAACAGCATTAGTCATTAGGGAAATACACATCAAAACCACAGTGAGATACCACTGTGTACCCACTAGGATGGCCACCGTCAAAAAGACAATAACAGGGCCGGCCCCGTGGCTTAGCGGTTAAGTGCGCGTGCTCCGCTGCTGGCGGCCCGGGTTCGGATCCCGGGCACGCACCGACGCACTGCTTCTCCGGCCATGCTGAGGCTGCGTCCCACATACAGCAACTACAGGGATGTGCAGCTATGACATGCAACTGTCTACTGGGGCTTTGGGGGAAAAATAAATAAATAAATAAAATTATTAAAAAAAAAAGACAATAACAAGTGTGGGCGAGGATGTGGAGAAATAGGAACCCTCACACACTGCTGGTGGGAATGGAAAATGGGGCATGTTCTGTGGAAAATAGGCAGTTCCTCAAAAGGTTAAACATAGGGACCATATGACCGTACAGATTTCTAGGTGTCCACCCAAGAGAAATGAAAACATGTCCGTACAAAAACTTGTACACAGATGTTCATAGCAGCATGATTCGTAATAGCCCCAAAGTAGACACAACCCAAATGTCCATCAATGGATGAATGGATAAACAGTGTGGTCCATCCACACACTGGAATATTATTCAGCCATGAAAAGGAGTGAAGCCCTGACACATGCTACAACGTGGAGGGACCTTGAATACAAGATGCTCAGTGAGAGAAGCCAGACACAAAAGGCCACACAGAGTGTGCTTCCTTTTATATGAAATGTCCAGAATAGGTGAATCTATAGAGACAGAAAGTAGATTAGTGGTGGGCAGGGGCTGGGGGAGGATGGGAGATCGCAGAATGATGGCTAAAGGATACAGGCTTCTTTTGGGGGTGATGAAAATGTTCTAAAATCGACTGTGGTCATGGTTGCACAACTCTGTGAATACAATAAAAACCACTGAATCATACACTTTACACGGGTGACTCGTATGGTACGTGAATTATATCTCAATAAAGTTGTAACAAAAAAAAAAGGGGAAGAAAATGATGAATTTGCTCAACTTGTGTCTTAGTTCATTCAGGCTGCTATAACAGAATATCATAGACTGGGGGGCTTATAAACAACAGACATTTGTTTCTCACGGTTCTGGAGGCTGGAAGTCCAAGACCAAAACGTTGAAGATTCCGTGTCTGGTGAGAACCCACAGAAGCTCCAGAGGGAACAGGATGATGGCTTCGTGGCCTGCAGGCCTGGCCAAGGAGAAACGGGTGCTCTCCCACGCTGCTGATGGGAATTCAAAATGGGCTTTGGATTTGCATTTCTCCACTCCCATGTTCATTGCAGCATTATTCACAAAAGCCAAGATCTGGAAACAACCTACATGTCCACTGATGGATGAATGGATAAGGAAAATGTGGTCCATCCATACAGTGGAATATTATTCAGCCTCAAAAAAGGAGGAAATCCTGCCATATGTAACAACGTGGATGAACCTGGAGGACATGATGCTCAGTGACATGAGCCAGACACAGAAGGACAAATACTGTGTGATCCCCTCACAGGAGGAAGCTAAAACAGCCAAACTCACAGAAGCAGAGAGTTGAGCGGTGGTTTCCAGGGGTGGGGGGAGGGGGAAATGGGGAGATGGTCTTCAACACGAATATAGTTTCTTTTTTTTTTTTAATATTTGTTTATTTATTTATTTTTTCCCCCAAAGCCCCAGTAGATAGTTGTATGTCATAGTTGCACATCCTTCTAGTTGCTGTATGTGGGACGTGGCCTCAGCATGGCTGGAGAAGTGGTGCGTCCGTGTGCGCCCAGGATCCGAACCCGGGCCACCAGCAGCGGAGCGCGCGCACTTAACCGCTAAGCCATGGGGCCGGCCCATCACGAATATAGTTTCAATTGTGCAAGATGAACACATTCTAGAACCCAGGGGTACCATGTGGTGCCTATAGCTGATACTGTACTGTGCACTTAAAAATTTGTTTGGAGGGTAGATCTCGTGGTAAATGTTCTTATCGCAATAAAATAAAAATTGATATGCAATGGAAAAGATAAACTTTAGATTGACTCACACAATAATATGATACCATTTATGTGGGGGAAAAAAACCCAACCTACACAGATGATGCTACATATTTTAAGCAGCTCTATACTTGATATATGTTGTGAGTCTTTCAACTGGCTGGAAAGATACAGCCCAAATTCCTAACAATGTACCTCTAGGAAGTTGCAGAGGGGCTTGGATTTGGGGAGCTGGTCAAAGGGACTTTATACTTGTAATGTTAAAAAAAAAGTCTTTAGGGGTTGGCCCGGTGGCATAGTGGTTAAGTTCATGTGCTCCGCTTCAGTGGCCTGGCTTCGCGGGTTCAGATCCCGGGCGCGGACCTACACCACTCATCAGCCATGCTGTGGCAGTGACCCACATATAAGCTAGAGGAAGATGGGCACAGATGTTAGCTCAGGGCCAATCTTCCTCAAGCAAAAAAGAGGAAGATTGGCAACAGATGTTAGTTCAAAAAAAAAAAAATCTTTAAAGGGCCATGCACCACTGATATCATTGTAAACTAATTTTTATATCATTCATTTCTGTAATTATAAATGAATTTTAAACAGGTGCATGGACACAGATGGCAGGGTGTAATGCAATGATCAGCAAAGAGGGAAATAATTTAAAAGTCAAGCGGCCCCACAGTTTGTTACCTTAAAGTTGTCAAGCCAGGAACTGTGTTAGGAGGAAAATTACACCGGCGTATTTCATCTTTCCTGACTGAACTGGTCAGGACAGTCACAGGATGGCAATTTACTGGCAAAGAAATCCTGAGGGTGCCATCTGTTATGGGCTGAATTATGTCCCCTCCAAAAAAGATGTGTTGGAGTCCCAACCCCCAGGACCTCAGAATGCGACCTTAATTGGAAGTTGGGTCTTTACTGAGGTGATTGGGTTAAAAGGAGGTCATTAGGGTGGGCCCTAATCCAATAGGACTGGTGTCCTTATAAAAATGGGAAATCTGGACACAGACACGCACAGAGGGAAGATGACGTGAAGACAGAGGGGGAAGACGGCCGTCTGCAAGCCGAGGAGAGAGGCCTCAGAAGGAATCGGCCCTGCCGACACCCTGATCTTGGACTTCAGCCTCCAGAACCATGAGACGATAAATGTCTGTTGTTCTAAGCCATCCAGTTTGGGGTACTTTGTTACCGTAGCCCGAGCAAACTCACACCCAAGTGACATCCCATTTCATCGGGAAAGGGCATAAAATTTTATGCCTGAGTCATTCTAGAATGGTGACAACCACGTTTGGGTTTTGTTTTGGCCGGGCTGGATCCAGCGGGTCAGTGGTTAATAAGCCAGGTGTAAAGCGCTTCTAGAAAGCTACCCGCAGGTGGCCCACGCACTTGCAGCCACAGTGTGGATGCTGATGTTGGCTTCGGAAATGGAAGAATGCAAGATGTGCCGTCCTTCTTGTACCTGGACGGGGTCGACAAGCTGACCTGGGAGACAACAGGGCAGAATCGTGAGATCTCTGCAAGTGCTGGGAAGGGGCCCACCCCACCCCTTGGTTCTTGACTCAAATGATAAAGATTTGAGGAAAATACAGCACTGGGATGAAATGTTGTGAAACATGGTACAGAAGACGCTTAGTTTAAGAAAATGCAACCCCCGTACAGCTCCTGGGTTCGAGGCTGTTGAGTTTATAAGGGAAACGTTATTTTGCCGTCTGGATGCATGAATACGATGGAATGCCTTTTACTAGATGGGTACATGTATAAGGAGTAAGACAGAGCTTTCTTTCTGGAATGGGTTCCCCAAATGGGTGGTCCAGCCCTGAGCCCTTTCCTTGCCTTGGGAGGAAACAGCCATGTTCAGGCGGCCGGACCGATGCTGGGTAGCTGGCTGCAATTGCAGGTGCTCTTGCAGCCACATCTGTGCCCAGAGGTCCCTGACAGCACCTCCTCCTGGGAGGGCTGCCTTTTGCTCCTTATGCCGGCTGGCAGGCTGGGGGTCACGTAGCCCTGGAACTGCCAGGATTCCCCAGCAAGGCCAGCTAGAGGGGCTATGCCATTTACTGATTTTTCTCTGGCCGGGGGCCGTTCGAGTGGGTGGCCCTGACGCATCTCTCAGTCACTAATCTCTACCCCAAAGCAAGATCTGCGGTTCCTAGACTGAAGACTTGGACCCTCTGCCCTAGGCATCTGGTGACTTTCAGAACCTGCCTATGTGGCCCTGAAGGTCCCACGAGGCGGGGAATGGGGCGGGGGGGGTGCGCAGTGAGGATGGCGAAGCGAGAATGGGCTCATCACCATCCGCTAAGTCAGGGAAGAGGAAAAAACAACGGCTTGTGCTTTCCCTGCCCAGAGGGGACACCGAGTGGCAGCCCCAAGCCGGGGCCTCGCTCACCTGCGTTTCGGGAAACCAACAGGCTCTTCTCGAACCAGAAGATCAGAATGCCTTTCTGGCCCGGGGTGATGAGGATGTCGAGGGTCCCGTTGTAGTCAAAGGGAAGCCCAAAACTGCGGTTCAGGGGGTGGTCTGAGTAGGCGAACATGGCCTGAGAGAAAAAGACTAAGGAATCTTCGGCGATAAAAGAAATTGCCTAATCGTGTGGTGATAGAACAGCGTGGGTCCACGTGTTCTGTTATTCGATCCTTCTTCAAACCTTATTGTCTGGCCCGGTGGTTCTCAGCTTGGGGTGACTCTGCCCCCAGGGGACACTGGGCCATGTCTGGGACGTCTGTGGTTGTCACGACTCGGGGAGCTCCTGGCGTCCAGTGGGTGGGGGCCAGGGATGCTGCTCAACCCCCCACAGCGCCCAGGACGGCCCCCACGACAGAGAACTATTCACCCAAAATGTCCACAGTGCAGGCTGAGGGGCCCTGCCCTCTCTCCTTCTGCTCTGCCAGACCCGTGGTGGCTTCCTGCACCTGGATCCCCCGGCTGGTCTCTCTCTCCCTCTAACCCGCCTGCGCCCACACGCTGGATTCTTTTCCTAACAACCTTCAGCATCAAGCCACTCACACCTTGAGACCCTGTAAGGGCTGGCTCTTGAGTCAAGTCTAAACTCCTCTGTGTGGCTGTCAGAGCTCTCTCTTATCTGGTCTGTGTGGAAGACCTGACAGCACTACGCAAGGATGGAATTTAAAAAAAAAACAATCACTGGTTCATAAGTGAGTCCCATCAAGACACCTGCGTCCCTTTCCCAGAAGACGTCCCAGGGAGACGAGGGAGAGATCCCGGTGGCATCCTTGGCCAGCGTCTCTGTATTTGCAGACCTACTGGCTTGCTTTCTAAGCACCTCCCGGGGCCCAGAGGGAACTGAGGGCTCACGAGGAGGATGGATCGTGCACAGGCTGCTGAACTTGACTCGTCCCGCCCTGCTGTGCACACAGGGGCCGGGCCCCATCTGCACGACGACGAGGACGACAACGTGCTAAGAGTCTGTGAGTTGGCGGCCCCTGGCGCATCCCCACTGTGTCGTGAATGGGCTGGTCTTGGGCCAGATGCTGAGAGCAGCCTCTGCCGGGAGCTCAGCTGAGCCGCCAGGTGTCAGAGCAGCCGATTGAGGCAGCAAGCCAAACATGAAGGAACGCAGCCTTTAATTGCTGACTGCGGTGGGGCAGGCAAGAGACGGGCCAGAGAAACCTCGAGTGCCCCCATTTCGTTCCTCCCCACCACGGGAGGGGCGCACCAGTGGAGGGTCCGCTGGACCAGTGCAGGTGTGGGGTTCATCTTGCTCTGGAGGGTGCCTGGACAAAAGGCGCCTGCAGGTTTATGCACCCCCGGGCCGGGGATGGGGAGAGGGCTAGGAGCGGAAAAATACTGAATCGGAGAGGAGGAAAGTGTCTCCAGATCGGCAGAGGCGCCTGAAGGACTTGAGCAGAAGACCACAGATAACAGAGCCAGGAGTGAAGGCGCTGGGCTCGGAACGCAGACAGGCAGGGAGCATGCCTGGCCAGAGCCCGAGTCCTTGAAGGCGACCCCTTCAGAGCCTGGGTGCCCCACACATTTGGACTGGGGAGGGCAGCTTTCCCCGGGGACGCCTGCTGGGTGAAGCCTTTGTGATTCTCTGTGGTCGGGCCTAGAAATCGTGCATGGGTTGTACCCAGGAGCTGGACTGAATTCTCGGGAGTTCCAGAGTGGTGGGAGTGTCTCTGTTATTCAAGGCAGGCCCTGGCAGGTTAAATGTGGGGGACCCCAGATGGGGGCTGGACCAGCCACTTGATTAGAAGGTGGGGCCTTTCAGCCACGGGTATCAGCCCAAATTCTGGAAGCTTCCTGAGGGTGAGTCTCCCCTGAACTTCAGAGCTGCACACACCCCCACTCACAAGTTTTGCAATACCAGGGTACTGACTGTACTCAGTGTTTTTCTAATTTAATATTTTTTGGTCAAGTGCAGTTGACATGGACTGCTCCTCTTCTTAACTTAGCCTTATCCTAACTGAGATCTGGGAGGCCACAGGTTTCATGGACTGATTTTCTGAATACACATGAAAATAATCGTTAAAAAGAGTTTGACATGAGGCATTTAAATGATCTGGTGCGCCATCAGTGATACACGCACCACACCCTGTGTTTCATCCCCAGTGCTCATCATGGTGCTTAGTACCTCCTGGGCACTACCCAAATATTGCTGAGTGCGTGACTTAATGACCAAGGGAATGCGGGGAGGGAGGGGTGGTGGGTGTGTGGGTGGGTGGATGGGTATATGGATGAATAGCTAGGTGGATGGATGGATAAGTTGGTAAATGGATGGATGGACAGACAGACAGATGGGTTGGTGGATGGAGGGATGGATGGACGAATGGATGATCAGATGGGTAAATGGATGGATGGATGGATGGATGGATGGATGGATGGATGGATGGATAGGTGGGTGGGTTGGTGGATGGATGGATAAGTAGGTAAATGGATGGATAAGTAGGTGGGTGGATGAGTGGATGGGTAGATGAGTGGATGAGTGGATGGGTAGATGAGTGGATGAGTGGATGAGTGAATGGATGGATGTGTGGGTGGGTGGGTGGGTGGGTGGATGGATGGATGGATGGATGGATGGATGGATGGATGGATAAGTAAGTGGGTTGATGGATGGATGGCTAGGTGAGTGGGTTGGTGGATGGATGGATGGATGGATGGATGGATGGTTGAGTATATGGAGGAATGGATGAGCGGATGAGTGAATGGATGGATGTGTGGATGGATGGATGGATGGACAAATGGATGTATGGATAAACAGGTAGATGGATGGATGGATGGATGGATGGATGGATGGATGAGTAGACGGATGAATGGAAGAGTGGATGGGTGAATGAATGCATGTGAAGATGAGTGGGTGGATGGATGGATGGATAAATAGGTAAATGGATAGATGGATGGATGAATAGGTAGGTGGATGAGTGGATGGATGGATGGATGGATGGATAGGTGGGTGGGTTGGTGGATGGATGGATGCACGGATGGATGAGTAGATGGATGAATGGAGGAGTGGATGACTGAATGGATGGATGTGTAGATGAGTGGGTGGGTGGATGGATGGATGGATGGATGGATAAGTAGGGAAATGGATGGATGAATAGGTAGGTGGGTGGATGGGGGGATGAATGGATGAGTGGATGAGTGAATGGATGGATGTGTGGATGGATAAACGGATGGACAGATGGATGTATGGATAAATAGGTAGAGGGATGGATGGATGGATAAGTAGGTGGATGGATGCATGGATGGATGATGGATAAGTAGCTAAATGAATGAATGGATGGTACAGCAGGTGGATGGACGGATGGATGAGTAGATGGATGAATGGAAGAGTGGAGGGGTGAATGGTTGGATGTGAAGATGGGTGGGTGGATGGATGGATGGATGGATAAGTAGGTAAATGGATAGATGAATGGATGGATGGGTACATGGATGGACAGGTGAATGAAAAGCTAGATGGATTTCAGATATGAAGATCAAAGCATGAGTTTTAACAAAAACCTGGCTTGGGGCAAAGGTCACTTAAGTAGTCCTTCCCGGTCCAAGGTTACTCACCTTCCCTTGATCAATGAGAAGCAGCCCGACCTGTGACAAGGAGTGAAAGTAGAAGGTCCCACCCAGGGATCCAACTAGTTCTGCCTGTGAAATAAACAAAAAAATATCGCATGTGCATAAAGTACAAACATGTGTTGGAGTCTCAATTTAACTCCACGTTATCTAATAAGCTAAACGGAAGGAAAGCCTTTCTTATTATGATCCATTTCCCCTCCGTGGCAATGTGGCTTGTAGGGGAGAACCTTGAACGGAGACAGCTTTGTGTCGGGGTGTTGGAGGAAGTGGCCTGGCCCAGACTGCTAGGTGCCTGTCTAACTCCTTCCCTCCTGCCTACATCCCTCATTCCTGATTTTTGACTCGTCAGCAAAGCGCCTAGCAGCCAACTTGGAGCATGCGACCAAGAGCCCTGACCTAGGGACAGTGGCACAGCTTGCCACAGCAGCCCCACTGGCTACCTCCAGACTTCCTTCAGGGAAGAGAGAAGACCATTATCTTATCTAAGCCTCTGTTATTTGGGGGAGTTTTTTATTACACGCAGTGCTGTGGATTGAATTGTGTACCCCCAAATTCGTATGTTGAAGCCCTAACCCCCGTCTTAGTCCGTTTGGGCCACTGCAACAAAATGCCACACACAGGGCGGCTTATAAATAATAGGAACTTATTGCTCCCAGTTCTGGAGGCTGGAAGTCCGAGATCAAGGTGCCAGCGTGGTCAGGTGAGGGCCCTCTTGCGGGTCACAGACTTCTTGCTGTGTCCTCACGTGGTGGAAGGGCATGAGCAAGCTCCCTGGACTCTGTTACAAAGGCTCTGATCCCATGCATGAGGGCTCCCCCTTCACGATCTAAGTACCTCCCAAAGGCCCCACCTCCTAACACCATCACATCAGGCATTAGGATTGCAACACATGAATTTTGGGGGTGACACAAGCATTCAAACCATAGCACCCCCAAAGTGATGGCATTTGGAGGTGGGGCCTTCAGGAGGTAATGAGGTTTAGATGAGGTCATGAGGGTGGGACCCTCATGATGGGACCAGTGTCCTTATAAGGAGAGACACCAGAGTGTGCGCGCTCTCTCTCCCCCCACCACGTGAGGACACAGTAAGAAGGCTGCCGTCTGTAAGCCAGGCAGAGAGCCCTCACCAGGAACCGAGTCAGCCAGCACCTTGATCTTGGACTTTCTAGCCTCCAGAACTGCGAGAAATAAATGTCTGTTGCTTAAGTCACCCAGTTTGGGATCTGTTACGGCAGCCTGAGCCGACAAGACATACAGTCAGTCTATCCCAGTTCAACCAGCACAGGTGGCAAGATTTCCTGGTGGCCCATCTGTCACCTCCCGATCAGCCACCCCGACTCCTTCTTCCCTGCAGGCAGAACCCCAAGGGGGCCTTGATCTCAGGGGATGAAGCATGATTGCTCTGGACCACACTCAGCAGTCTCAGCCCCTTGGCCGTGGACTGAGATGGGATGGTGCGTGATTCAGCTCTGGCTGGTGGGAGGGGAGGGCGAGTCTTCTGGAATGAAAAGACAAAGCCCGTCGGCCGTCTTCCTGCCGACAAGGGAGATGTGATGGCTGGAGATGAGCACTCAGCTTGCGGTGTGGTGATGATGGCCTACAGGCTGAGCGGGGCGGATCTTCAGCTGGTCTGTTCCAGCTGTGGAAACACTGAAATAGCTCTGGAGTGGCTGTAAGCACCCGTCTCCAAAGCACGCCTGGGAGACACACACAGGAGGCTGTTCCCTGTGGCTGCTGTAACAAATGACCACAAGCTTAGTGGCTTAAATCAGCACAGACTTATTCTCTTACACTTCTGGAGGTCAGAAGTCCATGATGGGTTTCATGGGGCCAAAATCCAGGTGTTGGCAGGGCTGGTTCCTTCTGGAGGCTCTAGGGGAGAATCTGTTCCTCACCTTTTCCAGCTTCTAGAGGCGTCTATGCTCCTTGGCTCGTGGTCCCTTCCTCCATCTTCAAATCCAGGAGCATAGAGTCTTCCAATCTCTCTCTCTCTCTCTGACTCTGCTTCTATCATCCATCTCCCTCTCTGACTCTGACCCTCCTACCTCCCTCTTATAAGGATCCTTGTGATTATGTTGGGCCCACTTGGATAATCCCTCATCTCAAGATTCTTAACTTAATCCCCCCTGGTTCTGGGGACTCAGGGGTAGACATCTTTAGGGGGCCCATTATTCTGCTGAGCACAGAGACCCCTCCCTCGACCTTCCCATAATCAGGCAACTACGGGATTAACGGCTGGCACAGGAGGGGACACCAGGCATTCCTTCATCACGGGGGCCAGCGTCCATTCTGACTGGACAGTACCCATGCCACACAGTCCCCATGATTAGGGTTTAGAATGTCATGGATCCTGACGCTAAGGATGCTGGAGCAGAAACACATGGCGATTCTGGACCCCTGGGAGCACTGCTGAATGGGGCTGCCTACATCTTGGACGAGAAAGGAGGTGAAAACTTGCCTCCATGAGAGTCAAAATTCCATACATTTCTTGCAAAGCAAAACTACACTAAGATATCACCTTACACCCATTAGAATGGCTATAATCACCAAGATAAACAATAACAAATGCTGGAGAGGATGTGGAGAAACGGGAACCCTAATCCACAGCTGGTGGGAATGCAAACTGGTGCAGACTCTATGGAAAACAGTATGGAGATTCCTCAAAAAATTAAAGATAGAGATGCCTTATGATCCAGCTATCCCGCTACTGGGTATCTACCCAATGAACCCGAAATCAACAATCCAAAGAGGCTTATGCACCCCTATGTTCACTGCAGCATTATTCACTATAGCCGAGAAGTGGAAGCAACCCAAGTGTCCCTCGACTGATGACTGGATAAAGAAGATGTGGTATATATACACAATGGAATACTACTCAGCCATAAACAAAGACAAAATCATCCCATTTGCAACAACATGGATGGACCTGGAAGGTATTATGTTAAGCGAAATAAGCCAGACAGAGAAAGACAAACACGGCATGATTTCACTCATATGTGGAAGATAAAGTAACACACAGACAGAGAGAACAGTTTGGTGGTTACCAGGGGCAAGAGGGTTGGGAAGTGGGCACAAGGGGTAAAGGGAGGCATTTATATGGTGACTGACAAACAATAACGTACAACTAAAATTTCACAATGTTATAAACTATTATGACATCAATAAAAAAAATTCCAGACATTTCTTATCAGCTTGGCGATTTCCCCCTCCAACTGCCGAGGCCAACGTGCAGGTGTGGAGGCAGAAGAGGCACCGCGATGACTTCCAGAGACTAGAGGACAACGGGACATCTGAGCAGGACACAGGAGTCCAGGAGGATAAGTGGAGCTGGCTGCGGTCCTGGCCTCAGCCGTCCTGAGCCCAGCCATTCCCAGAGTCCACACTCAGAAATGGACCTTCGGGCCGGCCCCGTGGCTTAGCGGTTAAGTGCGCGCTCCGCTGCTGGCGGCCCGGGTTCGGATCCTGGGCGCGCACCGACGCACCGCTTCTCCGGCCATGCTGAGGCCGCGTCCCACATACAGCAACTAGAAGGATGTGCAGCTATGACATCCAACTATCTACTGGGGCTTTGGGGGAAAAAATAAATAAATAAAAGTTTAAAAAATAAATAAAAAAGAAACGGACCTTCCCTTTGTTCTCGAAATGACTGTAAGAACCACCACCACCACACACACACACAGAGCAAAAAGACTATGGTATTAACAATTGGTATTTAAAAGACATCAAGGAGAAGACTGAACCCCACTCTGGGACTTTACTGCCTCTCCTGGGGAGGGGTTAGTATGTTTTTGGTTGTGCACAGGTTGGTGGTATTGTGTTGGGTGGAATTATGACCTTGTAATAAAGATCTAGCGTCTTTATCTGGAGATTGTGGTTGAAGGAGATGCGTATGGGCATCCAGTTGACGCGGGGTGGATTTGTGACGGTGAATTCTGTGTGCCAACTTGACTGGGCTAAGGGAGGCCCAGAGAGCTGGTAGAACATTATTTTGGGGTGTCCGTGAGGGAGTTTCTAGAAGAGATTAGCATTTATTCAGTAGACTGAGTACAGAAGATCTGCTTTCCCCAGTGTGGGTGGATGTCATCTAATCCATCGGGGGCCCGAATAGAACAGAAAGGTGGAGGAAGGGTGAATTTGCTCTCTCTTCTTGAGCTGGGATGTCCATCTTTTGCTGCCCCTGGACACGAGAGCTCCTGGTTCTCGGGCCTTCGGACTCAGAAGGAATTACACAGCCAGGCTTCCTGGGTCTCCAGCTTGCAGATGGCAGATTGTGGGGCTTCTCAGGCTCCATAACCACGTGAGCCAGTTCCCATAATAAATCTCCTCTTTTATAGATTTATATACATTTCTTATTGGTTTTGTTTCCCTGGAGAACCCTAATACAATTGGGGATTTTAATGAAGAGAGTTTTCAACTGAGCACAAACGTTAACTCTGGGTCCTTCTAGTTTTGAACGAAAGTATGTGGCCAGTTAGGTTTTAGGCTTCATTGGGCCTCCTGGGCAGGGCCGAGAAACCAGATTTGGGATGTGATCGGAACTGGAGAGCGGAGTAGACTCTGTCTGCATTCCTTTGGATGTACTGCCCAAGTGTCTAGGGGTGAAGCCGTTCTCTGCGTCGGAATAAAACGCGCTTACCCCCTTAGCTACCCATGGATCCTGTCCACTTCAGCTGTTCCAATCCCAGCTCTGCCAAGCTGTGTGGCCTTGGCAAAGGCCCTGCACCTCTCTGAGCCTTTGTCCCTGTATTACTTTCCTCGGGCTGCCATAATAAAATGCCACATACTGGGGGGGGGGGGCTTAAAACAACAGAAATGTAATGTCATGGAAGCCAGAAGTCTGAAATCAAGATGTGGGCAGGGCTGGTTCCTTCTGGAGGCTCGGAGGAAGAAAGCACGCCATACTTCTCTGCTAGCTTCTGGTTTGCCAACAGTCCTTGGCTTGCAGCTTCATCAGTCGAATCCTGCCTCCATCTTCACAAGGCCGTCTTCTCTGTGTGCATCTCTCCCTGTCCTCTCCTCTTTGTAGAAGGACCCCAGTCATTGGATTCAGGACCCACCCTAATCCAGTATGACCTCATCTTATCTTAACTAATTACATCTGCAAAGACCCTATTTCCAAGTCAGGTCACATTCTGAGGTTCTGGGTGGACAACAATTGGGGGGGGGATTCTTATTCAACCCAGTAAAGCTCTCTCATCTGCGAAATGGGGTGATGACGGCACATGATGGTTCGATCTTTCGGAGGGCCTGCGGTTAAGTGTCACAATTAAAATGCAGCCTTTTCTGTGACCCCAGCTTTTTGTCAGCACTCCATAAACAGTCTCCTCTCCTAACTTCGTAATCTCCCTTGCCAGCTCCTTTGATCTGGAAGTTTCCCTGCCCTCCCGGCCAGCTGATGTCTTCAAGAGAAAAAAGCCCCTGTTCACCCACTGCCAGTGAATTCCTCCAGCCACAGAGATATTTTTATGTTCACTTTCTTAGCAAATTCGATGTACCTGTCTTTCAAGGGCAAACTTCTGAAATCTGTATCCCCAGGTATTTGAGAAATAGATGTTGGTCTGAGGTATCTGGTCTCCACGCAAATAAGCGAAAACTGAATCACTTATGTCCTGGAAGAACACACACATAAAATAGTCTCTTTAAAAGGAGATAGAGGCTGGCGGGATTGGGGAGATGTGGTTTAGGGTGCAAACTTGCAACTAGTGCCTAAATTAAGTTCTGGAAATCCAACACGCAGCATAGTGATTATAGACAACAATACTGTAGTATAAACTTCAAAGTTGCTAAGAGACTAGATCCTAATTGTTCTCACCACAAAAAAGAAGTGGTAATTATGTGACATGATGGAGGTGTTAGCTAATGCGACAGTGGTAATCATGTTGCAATATATAAATGTATCAAATCAACACGTTGTATACCTTAAACTTACACAATGTTGCATGTCAATCATATCTCAATTACAAAGGGGGGATGAGATAGATGCCATTGATCAGACTCCTGGGCATTTATCCCAGAAAAATGAAAACTTATGTCCACACAAAAATGTGTACACGAATGTTCACAGCAGCTTTATTTGTGATAGCCAAAAAGTGGAAACCAAAATTCTGTTACATCCACACTGTGGAATATTACTCGGCAATGAAAAGGAATGGACTAGAGAGATACTCAACAAATTGGATGAGTCTCCAGAGAATTTTGCTGAGAAAAGCCAATCCCAAAAGGTTACATATTGAATGATCCCATGTATATAACATTCTTGAAGTGATAAAATTATAGAGATGAAGAACCGATTAGTGGTTGTCATGGGTTAGGGATGGGGTGGAAGCAAGGAGGTACAGAGAGCTTTGGGGCGATGGGACAGTCTAGTGTTTTGATGGCAGCAGTGGTTCCGTGACCTTACACATGTGATAGAATGGCACAGACTAGACACACACATTGTATCCATGTCAGTTTCCTGGTTTTTGTAACACACCATAGTTATGTAAGATGTAACCATTGGGGGAAGCTGGGGAAAGGGTACATGGGATTCTCTGCTATTTTTTTTAACTTCCTGAGGAGTCTATAATTATTTCAAAATAACAACCTAGGGGCCTGCCCTGTGGCATAGTGGTTAGGTTTGGCACGCTCTGCTTCGGCAGCCCAGGTTTGCAGGTTCGGATCTAGAGCACAGACCTACACCATTCGTCAGCCATGCTGTGGCAGCGATCCATATATAAAAAGTGGAGGAAGAATGGCATAGATGTTAGCTCAGGGCAAATCTTCCTCAGCAAAAAAAAAAAAAAAGTTCTTGGGTTCAAAATAACAAGTTAGAGAAAAGAAGACAGACGGATATCTTCATGGTGTGTCAGCCAGTTGATCTGAAAGTGGCTTCAGAGCCCCTCCCATATCTGAGGTCCTCTTCTGACCCCTGGGGAAATAACACTGCCCAGGGCCATCATGGTCCCAGCCCTCAAGGCTTACAGTGCCCTAATTTCCAATCACAATTATCTGTGCTCGGGGCAGAGTGAAAAATGACGGACCACACCCAGTACTTACCACACAAGAGGGATGTCCACTGTAACAACAATTGTCACCAGAAATATGAGAGACAGGGTGCTCTATGCCTGAAAGAAAAAGGCCATTTAAAAACTGTGTGAGTTCCTTGAAGTTCAGAGGGAAGGTTAGAGCAGAGTTTCTCAGTCTTGACACTACTGAGATTTGGGGCCAGATTGTTCCAGATTGTGGGGACCGTCCTGGGCGCACTGTAGGATGTTTTGCAGCATCTCTGCTTCTACTGACTAGATGCCATTAGCACCCTCCTCCAGTCTTGACAACCCCAAATATCTCCAGACCTTGCCCAGTGTCATCTGGGGGGCAGCACTGGCCCGGGTTGAGAAACACTGGTTTTGCAGAAACTCTTTTAGGACGCCACCAAAATTGCAGGAAGGGCTCCCTTCTCTTGGTGAGGCAGTCTTTGATTCCGTTTTAAAAGCAGAAGCTTTGGCTCCAAAGAAAACATCAACATGGCCAAAAAGCCCATGAGAAGATGCTCGACATCACTAATCATTAGGGAAATGCAAAGCAAAACCACAGGGAGACACGACCTCACGTCCATTAGGACGGCTATCGTCAAAGAAACAGAAAACAACAGGTGTTGGAGGATGTGGAGAAATTGGGACCCTCGTGCACTGTTGGTAGGAATGTAAAATGGCGCCGCTGCTGTGGAAAGCGGGATGGCGGTTCCTCAAAAAATTCAAAATAGAGATCCAGTAATTCCACTTCTTGGTATGTACCCCAAAGAATTAAAAGCAGAGACTCAAGGAAATATCTGTACACGCATGTCCAAAGCAGTATTATTCACAATTGCTAAAATAAAGAAGCAACCCAAGTGTCCATCAATGCATGAATGGATAAACAAGATGTGGCCCATCCATACAATGGAATATTATGCAGCCTTGAAAAGAAAGGACATTCTGGCACCTGCTACAACATGGATGAATCTAGAGAATATGATGCTCAGTGAAATAAGCCAGACAAAGAAGGACAAATACTGTGTGATCCACTCATAGGAGGTCCCTAGAGGAGTCACATCCACAGAGACAGAAAGTAGGATGATGGGTGCCAGGGGCTGGGGGAAGGGGGATGGGGAGATAGCTCATTGGATGCTGTTAAAGAAACTGATGGAGAAAAGAGAAAGGACAGAGACTAGATTGACTTACATTACAAGGAACCCTGATGGTTCCTCAATAAGTCGCATATGGAGTTGCCATCTGACTCAGCAATTCCGCCCCTAGGTGTCTACCCAAGAGAATTGAAACATATGTCCACACAAAACCTCGTACATGAATGTTCACAGCAGCACGATTCACAATGTCCAAAAGGAGGAAACAACCCAACATCCACCAGCTGATGAGTGGATAAACAAAAGTGGTCCATCCATACAATGGAATATTACTCAGCCATGAAAAGGAGTAAAGCCCTGACACAGCTACAATGTGATGGACCTCGAAAACAATATGCTAAGTGAAAGAAGCCAGACGCAGAAGGCCACATATTGTACGATCCCATTCATATGAAATATCCAGACTAGGCAAAGCCATAGAGACAGAAAGCGTATTAGCGGTTGTCAGGGGCTGGGGGTGGGGAGTGGGGAATGACTGCTTAATGAGGATGGGGTTTCTTTTGGGGTGATGAAAACGTTCTGGATCTTGATAGTGGTGATGGTTGCACCACATTGTGAATGTTCTAAATGCCCCTGAATTGTACACTTTAAAATGGTGAGTTTTGGGGCCGGCCCCGTGGCTTAGCGGTTGAGTGCGCGCACTCCACTACTGGCGGCCCGGGTTTGGATCCTGGGCGCGCACCGATGCACCGCTTCTCCGGCCATGCTGAGGCCGCGTCCCACATACAGCAACTAGAAGGATGTGCAACTATGACATACAACTAACTACTGGGGCCTTGGGGAGAAAAAGGAGAAAAAAAAAAAAAAAGAGGAGGATTGGCAATAGATGTTAGTTCAGGGCCGGTCTTCCTCAGCAAAAAGAGGAGGATTGGCATGGATGTTAGCTCAGGGCTGATCTTCCTCACAAAAAATAAATTAATTAATTAATTAAAACGGTGAGTTTTATGTGAATTTTACGCCCTCTTCTCCCAAAAAGGAAAAAGAGCCATGAGCTGTGGGAGAGAAAAGAACTGAACTGGAAGGTCGAGGGGGAGCTGGAGAGGATGGGGGAGTGAAATAAGAGCCGGCAGCATGGGCACATTTTGGAGGGAGCCAGGGGGAGGCAGAGAGAGTAAGGAAGAGTTTTAGGCAAGTTCTGTCAAGAGTGGGTTGATTGATGTTTTGGGGGCAGATTCCTCTTTGGTTTGGATGCAACAAATTTGTGAGACCAGACCAAGACTGGCCCCCGGGGCAGCCCAGCTTTACTTGGGTTATAGACATTCTCTACGGGCCCATCGGACACTGCATTTATATACAGTATCCACGCCGAGGGCTTGAAACATTCCGAGTATCAATTTGCTGAAGATCACCCGACCACCTTGTTGAGTCTCCCTGGAACGCTGTCATGAAAAGTAAGACCGAGGCTGAACTAAGGTGTGACCCTCTGTCCTGCTTCTCTGTCCCCTCAGGGGGCTGTGATCAATTCCCCAGCCCGGGCTCAGCAGGCACCTCACGGACGCCGCATTGACTGGGGAAGGGCCCATCTTGTGGCGCCCACAATCTTCCGCCCAAACTGATACAAGTGTAGCAAATGAAGAATGAATTGCCAGATGGCGATCTACCAACCCAGGGGTTCTTGATGGAAGGGATTTTGACCCTCAGGGAACACTGGGCGATGTCCAGGGACGTTTTTGTTGTCAGAACTTGGGGCTGCTCCTGGCATCGAGTGGGTGGGGGCCAGGGACGCTGCTCAACCCCCCACCGTGCCCAGGACGGACCCCCATCACGGAGAAAGATCTGGCCCTGAATCTCAGCACTGCCAGCGTTGAGAAAACTTGTCCTGATCTCTTTCTCACGAGAATGAGTACCCAAGCGCTCTCTCGCCCTTCTTCCCTTTTCCTGGCAAAGAGAAGGCCATCCCTCTGCTTTTCTGAAGAATGCCATCTCCCTGTCTCCATTCTTGACCTCATCTCCTTGCCTCCTCCATCAGGGGTCTCTTTCTCTCTCTTCATAAAGCTTCCCTTCTCTACTCTCCCCTGTCCCTAATGTGAAGTAGGTGGGATTGAATATGCCCATCCCCCAGCCTTGTCACCAAGCATCTAGGAGTCACTCTCGGCCTCCCCGTCCCCCCCCCCCGCCCCCACATCCACCTCATCGCAGCTCCCGTTGAGCTCTCTCTCTGGCCTCAACCAATCAGAGCAGGTTTTTGTGCTTGTAACTACAACCCCCACCGGAAACACTCCGTTCCCACCCTCCAGGATGGGGGGCATTTGAATTTTAAAGGAGAAGGTAATGTCCAAGGGTTGACATCCAGGAAGCAGTATTGTTTGTGCTTCTGAAATTAATAACCTCTTCTCCGATGTTGGCTGAACTCAAACAAAATACAAAACACAAAACACATGTACCTACAGAGGCATTCCAGGAATTGGCTTCATAATCATAAATATAGACTTTTTGGTTCACTACTAAGAGCAATACTGAACCGGCAAAATGGGCTGAAGTTACTTCTGGTGTGCCAACCTAAAAATAACGATATGTATCAGTAAGTACATCTTTTTGGACACGGATTCAGAAAGCAATACTTCTAGACACGCAACTAAAAGAAGTCTGCGCCAGCAAGAGTTTGGTTCCTAGATATTGGGAACTATGTGTCCTGGGGTCGGCTGGAACCCAAATGGGGAGGTTGAAATAGGTTTTCTAACTTCAGATAACTAAACCCACTTCATCTTCTTCTATCAAACCCTCTGAGGATAAAGCCTAACGTGTAAATGATGAATGATGAGCATAACTGATAAATGTGTCGCTTATAAGAGAAATGCTGGTGTTTTAATAGATGGCAAAGCCTTCTTTACCAGCAGTAGAATTTCTTGAATTTCTAGAAATTCTGACAACAGTAGAATTTCTCAGGATAGTTACTGAGGGGGTGAAGGTTTTTCTGTTTTGCTTTAGGATGATTTAGGGAGGCCCTGAAATTAGTGCGTGTAATCTATCTATTCACAACACACAACCAATTGTAAGGAGCATTTGCAACAATTCTGCCTCCTTTTTCAGAAGAAAAAAAAAGAGGCTCTTATGGTAGGAAGGGCAGGATAGAATCAGCCCTTCTTTTGCTTAGAAATTGCTCTCAGGGCCGGCCCCGTGGCTTAGCGGTTAAGTGCGCGCACTCCGCTGCTGGCAGCCCGGGTTCGGATCCTGGGCGCGCACCCACGCACCGCTTCTCCGGCCATGCTGAGGCCGCGTCCCACATACAGCAACTAGAAGGATGTGCAGCTATGACATGCAACTATCTCCTGGGGCTTTGGGGGTGAAAAAATAAATAAATAAAATCTTTAAAAAAAAAAAAAAAGAAATTGCTCTCAATATCTTTAAGAGGAACACTGTAAAATACACCCCCAAACGAACAAAAACAAACTAGTGCAAAATTTCCCTCTGAGCATTACTTATTTCAAGCATCCTTCAGATTCTTTGGCAAAATAATTACCTGCAGTGACGTAGGGATGGAAAATGGAGGGAGACTACTGCCAAAGTTATCTCTCGTGAAAAAAACTTGCCTTCTGGAATAAATGACAAAAGTGGTGAATTAGGACAATTTTACACAAGAAAAAAGACAATGGCGGGCTCTCTAAAAATGTCCCATTCAAACAAAATTCCTTTTTAAACAAGGCACCATTTAGGTTTTCTCTATTTATTTCTGCATGAGTCAACCTCTGTAGTCCGGGTATTTGACTTCTTGAAATAACATTATTTTAAAAGCGTGACCACGTCAAATATAAAATTGCACAAAGCGTACATTAAGTGACAGCTTCTCTTCCTCAGGATGAACTTCAGTTTTGTCATTTATATGGCTCTAATCCCACTAAAGTAAACGGTTGCAGATCAGGAATGCGTATATAAGAAAGAAACAATTTATTCCTTCATGCAGGAAACTTTTATGATGTGAAAGGCCATCCATGAATATGGTATATCCAGGTCTCCTGTCGCCCCTTCCAGAAGAGTTTTATGGTTTTAGACAGAGAGGAGTTGCTGAGTTAATGCCTACTTATATTAAAGTTTTGTTGCCATTGTGAATAATATTTTTCATAATTGCCTTTTTGAATCAGTCATGGCTGGTTTACAAGAGAGCTATTGATGTGTTTAACATCTGTCTCGTATTTGGCCAACTTGCTGCATTTAGTTATTACTCCTGGCAATTGATACTCTTGGATTTGGCAAATGTTTCTTTCTTTCCAACTGTGTTTTGTGTTTCATATCTTCTTTGTCATATTGCAATGGCTGGGACCTCCGATACAAAGTTGAATGGGAGTGGTTACAATTCTCCTGGTTATTTTTAACTTCATAGTGTCTCTTTTACAGGGTTAAATACTTTCAGCACATATCCCGTTGACCTCCAAACCAATAAAACATTGGGGGAGGGAGGAACTCTGAAGCATGAATTGTGGAATATTATTATTCTTATTTATTTGTTTGTTTGTTTCTACTTTAGAACCTGTCATTGAGGGCCGGCCCCGTGGCTTAGCGGTTAAGTGCATGCGCTCCGCTGCCGGCGGCCCGGGTTCGGATCCCGGGTGAGCACCGAGGCACCACTCCTCCAGCCATGCTGAGGCCGCGTCCCACATACAGCAACTAGAAGGATGTGCAGTTATGACAGACAACTATGTACTGGGGCTTTGGGGGAAAAATAAATAAATAAAATCTTTAAAAAAAAAAAAAAAAAAAAAAAAAAAAGAACCTGTCATTGAGGTGAGTTTCTTAAACAAAAGTTTCCTGAACCACAATAAGGTTCCTACCTAATTTGACGGTTTTTTTTTTAAACAAACTCTATTTTATTCACTCATTTAGCACACATTTATTGAATACCATGCTTTGGGGACACAAAGACGACCAAACATAGTCTCTGCCCACAAGACTTTCTTTAATTCACTAGAAAAAAATATGAAGAAAGGAGTTTGGGATTGAAATAAATATATAGTGGCTCACTTTTTCCAGAAACCGAGCTAAGAATCCAGAAGTAAGTAACAAGAAGCTTCAGAACGTGCAAAACCGGTAATATAGAGAGTGGGGGACCCTCATGACAGTCTTGCAAAAGACTGGCATGCTGACAACAACAAAAGGTGATGGCTGGCAGCAACCGGGAGAAAAGAGGAAAAAAATTAAAGTTAGATATGTCGAGGCTGGCCCGGTGGCACAGTGGTTAGGTTCGCATGCTCCGCTGTGTTGGCCCGGGGTTCGCAGGTTCGGATCCCGGGCGCCCACCCATGCACTGCTTGTCAAGCCATGCCATGGCAGTGTCCCATATAAAGTAGAGGAAGATGGGCACAAATGTTAGCCCAGGGCCAATCTTCCTCAGCAAGAAGAGGAGGACTGGCAATGGATGTTAGCTCAGGGCTAGTCTTCCTCACACACACACACAAAAAGATATGTCATGGGGCCAGCCCCGTAGCCTAGTCGTTAAGTTCAGCATGCTCCGCTTTGGTGGCCCAGGTTCGGTTCCCAGGCACAGACCTACACCACTTGTTGGTAGCCATGCTATGGTGGCGACCCACATACAAAATGAAGGAAGACTGGCACGGAGGTTAGCTGATGGCCAATCTTCCTCAGTAAAAAAAAAAAAAAAAAAAAAAAGGTCATAATGTTATAGCAAAAGATAACGGCCAATCCAAAATGCGACGGCTGCTGCCGGCATCCACCAGGCCACTTGCCTACTCAGAAAACTCGAATGGCCGTCTACATCCTCAAGGATCAAGGGCGAAGATTCTTAACCATCTACAGGGTGGTCCACAGTCTGAAGTCCACCCATCTCTCTACCCAGGACTTCTTACGCTCAGCACTATTGACATTGGGGTCAGCTACTTCTCTCTTGTGGGGGGCTGTCCTGTGCACTGCAGGATGCTGACTAGCATCCCTAGCCTCCACTCACTAGATGCCAGTAGCACGCCCCAGCCGTGACAACCACAAATGTCTCCCACTTTTCCCCAACCTCCCCTGGGGGGCAGAATCATCCCCAGTTGAGAATCACTGCCCTGGTCACCCCTATCACCATCTTGGACTTGCATTTCACACTCCATATTGTGTCTTTCCTTCATGCCACCTGATACTGTCTATTCCCTCTGAGGCCAACTCCCATTCAGCCTTGGAGGCACTCAGTCCTTACGCTGGAAGACAGGAAGTCCAACTCTTAGCCAAGTAGAGCTCTGTGTCCTTCTCCAGGCTGATACCCCACTGTTGCTCCCCAGTCGAGGCCCCTCGACTCAATTTGTTGCCTCTCTGACCTTCCCCAGTCATCCTGATGGGCTGAAATCTTACCTGGGTTTCCATTAGTCCCAGATGCTCTTTCCTCCATGCAGCCTTCCTTGATTTCTCCACAATCCCTCCTCCTCTGGGCTGCCAGAGTGCCGTGTACCACTCTCAGAACCCTATCTCCCTCCAACGCCGCCTCCCTGGGCTCTCGCTGGACCACAGCCTCAGCCCCTCACTTGTGTCCGTCTGCTGTCCCATCTCTCTGCTTCCTAGTCTGCATCCTGTGAAATCTGATCCTGTCACACCCCTGCTTCATGGCTGATGGCTTCCCACTAGAGTTAAACTGGAATCCAAATTTGTCACCACGGCTTACAAAGCTCCATGGGATCTGACACTGTTGATATCTCCCTTCACTCTCCCCCCTGGATCAATGCACCTTAGCTGTTCCTCCAACAGTCAAGCAAGGTCCTGCCTCAGGGCCTTTGCACATGCTGCCCTGCTGCGTATAATGTTCTTCCTCTTGCCTGCAAGGGGAAAGGACACCCCAGGCAGAGGGACCAGCTGGGACAAAGACCTCAGGAAGGATATGCACTAGGAACATAAGTTATAATTGTAGGTTAACTTCCTCGAAACGACATCATTGTGTCTGAGAACACGTGTTGAACATTTTGACACATTCTGCCAAATTGTCCTCCACAGAACGGGGACCCACTTAGCCTTATCCTTACTAACACAACAGGCAAAAACTGATATAACAATTTTATTAAGCATTAGAGTTTCTCATTTCTGGAAGCTGTTGGAATCAGACCCTCTTTGACTCCAATGTATTCTGGGCATCAGGATACCACTTAAGCATGTTATGCTCTAAGCCAGGGGTCTGGCAAGTTTTTTTCTGTAAATGTCATATAGGAAATCTTTTAGGGGCCACATGGCCTCTGTCTTGACCGTTCATAGCGCGAAAGCAGCCATGGACAATACGTCATTGAATGGACGCGGCTGTGTGCCAATAAAGCTTTATTTATGGACACTGAAATTTGAATTTCACATCATTTTCACACATCACAAAATATGATTCTTCTTTGGATGTTTTTAAATCATATCAAAATGTACAGTCTATTCTTAGCTCGCTGGCCGTACAAAATCAGATGGTGGGCTGGGATCTGGCCTGGGGGGCTGCAGTTTGAGCCCCCTGATCTAAAGCAGATGCAATGATGGAAATGTTCTATTTCTGAGCTGTCCAACATGGTAGCCACTAGCCACGCTGAGCGCTGAAGTGTGGTTAGTTAGACTGTATGGATTTTCCCTGTTTAATTTTAATTAAAAATTTTTTGTTTGATTTTTTTTAAATTGTGGTAAAATACACACAACAAAATTTATGTTACAATTTATTTTATTTTAATTGTGGTAAAATATATATAACATAAAATTCACCATCTTAACCATTTTAAGTGCACAGCTCAGTGGCATTAAGCACATTCACAGTGTTGTGCAACCATTCCCACCATCCATCTCCAGAACTTTCCATCTTCCCAAACTGAGACTCTATCCCCCTGAAACACTGACTCCCTGTCTCCTGCCCCAGCCCCTGGCCCCACCATCTACTTTCTGTCTCTGTCGATGTGACTCCTCTAGGGTCCTCCTGTGAGGGGACCACACAGTGTCTGTCCTTCTGTGTCTGGCTCATGTCACTGAGTGTCATGTCCTCAAGGTCCATCCACATTGGAGCAGGTGTCAGACTGTCCTTCCTTTTCAAGGCTGCATAATATTCCACACTGTGGATGGACCACGTGTGTTTATCCATCCATCGGTTGATAGGAAAGTTAAATTTAAATAGCTACATGTGGCTAGTGGTGTTTCACAGGGCAGCTGAGTTCTAAGGGAAAGACACAGAATTTGCATCTTATCCTTTGAGATGCTCCTGCTACAGAAGGAGCAGCTGAGTCCTCACCCTGCCCAGGGCCAGCCTAGCTGCCCCCGCTCCCCAGCTCCTCCCTGGGAGAGCCGGCTGGTCTCCACGGTCATCCCATGCCCCAGGCCCTTCCTCTCAGCGGGAACCTCCTCCAGACTCCGCCTCCCTGGCTGCTGGGCCTCTCTCTGTAGTGATCTCTCTTCTCTCTTCTGCCCTCTTGCTTCTGGAGAGTCACAGAAACTTTGGACCTCCATTTCTTCGCCTTCTCTCTCGCCTGCCCCTCTGCCACCAGGGCCTGCTTATCCGCCCACGGGCCTGGCTTCTCGGTGACAGCCCTCCTCCTCGGCTCCTAGGTCTCCTGCTTTCCAACGCCTTTCTCTTCTCCCACCTGCTCCGCAAAACCAATTCTCCCCAGAGCCTCTGGCCGCTGAACACGTGATCCTGGGTGACCGCAACCATGCCCACGGCTGCACCACCGTTCACAGGTAGATGACCTTCTGCTCCCATCTCCCGCCTTATGTGTCCTCCATGTCCCGCAAGCAGCAAGCCGTCCTGGGCCACCACCCCTCTCCCTGGTTCTTTTCACCAGAAACTTGGGGGCCGTCTTAAACCCCTTGCTCACCTCCGTTCTGTGCACACCGTGAGTCGTCAAGTCCTGCTGAGTTGGCCCCTTCTCTTCTATGTAGCCTTTCCTTCTATTTAGGCTTCATCGTGTTGTGTTGTTTTGTTTTTTTCCCCAGGCTTTCGGAAATCCTCCTAAACACAACTCGTGTAGCCTCAGATCCTCCACTGCCTTTAGGATGTGGGCCAAACATCTTGGTGTGGTGTCCACATATGGTTTTCTAACCTTGCACCCTGACAACCCCAAGTGCATGCTGAGCATGGTGCTTCCATTCCTTTGAATGCTCTGCTCCAAGCCCATTCACATTTGGTTCCCCCTCCACCCACAGCGAACTCCTATTCATCCTTCAAAACCCAGTCTGGGCATCAATTGCCCAGTGGAAACTTCCTAGGCAATTTTCTTCTCTGGGCCCCCCCATGAGTGCTTATATCAAGCATTCTGACAGGTGGTACCACACTATAATTATTTTAGTTACTTGCTGGTCTCTTCTTCTCTCTTCCTCTGATCCCCACCCCAACTGTGGACTCCCTGCAGGCCAGCAACTAGCAACACAGGACAGAGCCATCTTCCTTAATGTTTGTTGAATGAATGAGTGAGGGTAAATCTAACCTTTTAATAAAAAAGAATAAATGAGTGAGGGTAAGTCTAATTTTTTACTAAAACTCTAACATTTTAAGAAATAAAAACACATTTTAAGTATTTATTTAGACATTACATAAAATGGTCACTTACCCCAGATAGAGGGCTATGTTCTTCTTGCAAGGATGTTTAATCAAGTGTGTTGTCATCGATGAAAAATACAGATGGTCCTAGAGAGACAGTCACAAAATCTTAATAATATCAATAACAACAAACACTTGATAAAAATAATTTTCTAATGTGCAACACTGAAAATGTAAAAGTGAAGCCTGAATTAGGTAGGTGGATTGTATCAATGTTATTTTCCTGTTCTGATATTTTATTCTGGTTATGCCAGATACCTGGCAAGGAAGGGTACCTGGGACATCTCTGGATTTTTGCAACTTGCTGTGAATCTATGCTTACTTCAAAATAAAGTTAAAAAGATTCACATGATAATAATTCATAGCACATCTTATTTTGTGTACGTTATTGTTTATTTACAGATCATTAGTTATTTGAAAGAGAGGCCAGAAGAGAATCGTAAAGCTAACATGTTAGAAACCAGTCACTTGAAGATGACTTAGAAATGCTGACACCACTTCTGAAATATGCGACGTCAATGGGAAACACATTTGAACTGATGAAATATTTTTCCTTCATGCATTTTAGGCACACGTGTTGTGAAGGAAGTTTCCCGTTGCACTATGTCGTGTAAAGAAAGTAACAAGAGTTTGCTTCCTGTTCCTCTGCATTGAAACTCTCCTACCCAACAGAACACTGGATACAAACTCGGGGACTGAGTTCTAAACCCAGCTCTCGGGCCGGCCCTGTGGCTTAGCGGTTAAGTGCGCGCACTCCGCTGCTGGCGGCCCGGGTTCGGATCCCGGGCGCCCACCGACGCACCGCTTCTCCAGCCATGCTGAGGCCGCGTCCCACATACAGCAACTAGAAGGACGTGCAGCTATGACATACAACTATCTACTGGGGCTTTGGGGAAAATAAATAAATAAAATTATAAACCCAGTTCTCTCTCCTGGCTTTGTTCAGGTTAATCGATCTCTCTTAACTAGTTGGTGAAATGGGAAAGATTAACTCCTACTTCAAAGGGCGGTGGTAAGGATGAGATAAACTAATGTTCTATGCCTGACACAACACTGGCACCCAAGAAATACTAGCAAGTGTTAGTTCTGATCCAGTGAACAAAGTGAAGAATGAATGTTAAGTACGGAGCCACGTACCCCTTGAATATGCTGCCTGGTGTGAAACACCTTTCCCGTCCTCACCGTGTGGATACTAGAAGCAAGCAACAAGAGACCATCGGTCAATGTTTATTGAATATTCAGCATCACCCCTACCAGGTTGCTTCTGGGTTAACTTTGAAGTACCAGCTCTTGATCTTTTAGGGTTATGGGAGCCCCTGGAAAGTCTGATGAAATTGTGGGCCCCCCTCTCCCAGAAACAGACATTTGTGTACACAAAAACGGAGAAACAGACATTTGTGTACACAAAAATGGAGAAACAGACATTTGTGTACACAAAAATGGAGAGGCGATTCCTGAGAGCTCACAAAGGCTCATTTGCACCCCAGATTAGGAATCCCTACTCCAAGGTTTTTTCTCTTTTTGGGGGGTGGTGTGGGGTGGGTGTTGGTGGCTGGGAGAATGTTGGTATGGTTCGCAGCAGAGGCTCTCAATTTTGGATGTGCGTCAGAAGCGTCTTGAGGGCTTGATAATCCAGGGCATCGAAATTCTAACAAATTCCCTGGGGGATGCTGCTGCAGCTGGTCCAGGGCCACACTTGGAGAACGAGCGTGGGGAAGTGGGAGAATTGGATATAACCAAGCTTTTCAGACTTTGAGATAAATCCTACTGGTAAATCTTTTTTTTTTTTTTTTTGTGAGGAAGATTAGTCCTGAGCTAACATCTGTTACCAAGCCTCCTCTTTTTGCTGAGGAAGATTGCCCCTGGGCTATCATCTGTGCCCATCTGCCTCTACTTTATATGTGGGACGCCGCCACAGCATGGCTTGATAAGCAGGGTGTAGGTCTGTGCCTGGGATCCGAACCTGCGAACTCTGGGCTGCCAAAGTGGAGTGGGCAAACTGAACCACTATGCCACTGGACCGGCCCCCCTACTGCTAAATCTTACTGGAAAACTCTACTCCCCGCTTACTAGCTATGTGCCTTTAGGCAAGTGTGTTTTTAATTTCTCTGGGTCTGTTTTCACATCTATAAAATAAGGTTAAGGAATCGCTACTTCATGAACCTTGTAAAGATGAAATGAGACCATGCACCGGAAGTGCACAACAGGGTCCTGCTGAATGTGACAGCCCACTCCAGGCAGGACTTCCCTGAGGGCAGGACATGGGCCTCAGCGTCTGTCTACTCCCCACAGCACCTTGTATACAGTATTTACTAATCTAACATCTACTGAAAACTAAAAATATTCCGGGTAAAGAGAGAATAAGATAAACACTCCACACCCGCAGGGAGCAATAGAAAAAAAAAATTTGTCAAAAGAAAAGCATCACAAAAGTTACTGATCGGCAGGAAAAAGCAGCTACAGGGAGGAGGGGGGCTTTACGTAAGGAAATGTGCTGTTTAAGTCGCGATCTGAATGATAAGGAACCAGCCACGGAGAAACCTGGAAGCAAAGCGTGCCAGGCAGAGGGAGCAGCCAGCGCCAAGTCTCCCCGCTCCCCCAAACCCGAGGTTGGCGGGTTCAAGGGACGGCGTGGCTGGAGCAGTGACTCAGGGGTGGGCAGGGGGCAGATCAGTGGTTGTCAAGTCCCCAGGGGACGCTCGGCAATGCCTAGAGACATTTTTCATTGACGGTCAAGCCCGGGAAGGAGGTATTACCGGCATCTAGTGGGTGGAGGCCAGGGATGCTGCTAACCTCCTACAATGCACAGGACGGCTCCACCCCCGAGAATGATCCGGCCCCAAATGTCAGCAGCGCTGCTGAGAAGCCCTGGGCCACATCATGCGAGGAAACGCAGGCGGCGCAAGGGTCTCGGGTTTTATTCCGGGAAGGGGAAGGGGAGTGAGGGGCTCGGATTCGTTTATGAATAACCCCTCCGGCTGCGGGGCGGAGGAAGGACAGGAGGGCACAGCCAGCGTGGTGGCGGTGGAGGTGGCTTCAAGGGGTCGGAATCGGGCCGAACTTTCGAGGTGGCAACGGGAGGACCTTGTGATGGGCTGCAGGGGGTGGAGGGCGGTCTCCAGTTCGATTCCCAGAGAGTGAACGGGGAAGCCTCAAGGAGGTTGGGGAGCCGAGGGTTTCTTGGCTTCCGCTGAGACGAGCCAGCCCCCTCCCCGACCCCTGGGAGCGCCCCAGCCCGGGGATGGCAGCCCCACCGGCACAGTGGCTTAGCTCTGGCCAGCGGGTAGAGCCGCAACGCAGCCGCCGCCTCCACCATCAGCAACACCATCAACATGTCACTCGAGCTTCCGCCGCTACTACTGGCCCTCAACCGCCGCGGGCAGTCGCTTCGCAGTCTGGGCATGCGCACATCAGAGCCTGAGCATGCGCACGGCGGCTGCCGCGGAGCCTGGGCATGCGTACACGGCCGCCCGCGAGCTGCCTCCGGTCTGAGCATGCGCACCTCGTCTCCTGGGTCCCCTGAATCCACCACCTCAACAAGCCCCCCCCCACCCCACCCCGAGCCTGGGCATGCGCACACACACGCTCACGCTCTTCCTGGAGTCTGAGCAAGCGCTCGTCGTCTCCCGAACCCGCCTCCAAAGTTTGGGCATGCGCACAAGGCCGCCAGTGGGCCGTCTACAGTTTGAGCATGCGCACAGCGTCTCCCAGGGAGCCCGAATCTGCCAACCAGGACGCGCCCTAGAGCCTGAGCATGCGCATGTTACCCAAGTTTATGACGGGGGCTGCCCACTCGTTTTCAAAGCTCCGCCTGCAGCAACAGCTGCTCTCTTTTTAGGGGCCGTGGCGCGTGTCCACAGCCCTCCACGGGACCCGAAGGGGTCTTGAGCGCGCTAGCTGAGAGGCAGGAAGAGGTGGATGCGATGATGAAGCTCGAACCCCGCCCCCACGGCTCGGCGTAGGCCCCGCCTCCACGTTCTTCCAAGCTCCGCCCCCCACTGCTCTGCGTTCCGTGCCACGCCCCCGCCCCGGGGCACGTGCTCGGCGTCACGTGCGCCCCCGCGAGGCGAGCGGAAATGACGCAAGTCCTGTGCGCCGTCAGGATGGCCGGGCTATGGCGACGTGCACAGGCTACGTGCGGCTGTGGGGCACTGCGCGGTGTTGGGCGCTTCGGCGGCCCCTGCTGGCCGCCGCCGGGGGACGGGTCCCGACTGCGGCCGAAGCATGGTTGCCCAGAGGCCGGCGGGCCTGCGACGCCTCGCCTCCCTGGGCGTTGGGGGGCCGATGCCCCGCGGCCGCGGGCCAGTGGCGGGGGCTCTGGGAGGCGAACAACCGGAGCAGCGGCGGCGCATTCTCGGGCGGCGAGGATGCCTCCGAGGGCGGCGCGGAGGATGGGGCCGCGGGCGCGGGGGGCAGCGCGGGCGGCGGGGAAGGCCCCGTGATAACGGCGCTGACGCCCATGACGATCCCGGACGTGTTCCCGCACCTGCCGCTCATCGCTGTCAGCCGCAACCCGGTGTTCCCGCGCTTTATCAAGATTATCGAGGTAACGAGAGCCCTGCCTTGGCCGCGGTTTCCCCACCTGTGCGAGCAGCGGGTTGGACCGAGGGATCGCTTAGCACCCTCATTCCTCGAAACGTTTTCAGACATGAAGCTTCTTCAGGGCCGGAGTTCGAGTCTTTGCTCATCACTCGCTCGGTGAACTTGAGCCCAATTCTCCCCCTTTTGGATCCCTTAAGAGGAGTTGAATCCAGTGAGCTTAGGCTCGCCCACTTAGAGTCCTAGTCTTAGAAATCCGGTGCTGGGGAGGACCAGAACAGTATTGCCGCCCAGTTAATCTTCTGCGGGTCTTGGGAAATGTAACACTCTCCCCCGGGGTGATCTCCCTTCTGGTTACAGTTCTTTTGGGATCAGGGTTCATTTCTTCCTTAAACAAATATTTCTTGGCCGCTTAGCATGTGCCAGGTACGGTTCTAGGAGTTAGGGATACAGCAGTAAACAAAACTGACAAAAATTCCTGCCTTTGGAGATTACATTCTATTGAGAAACGTTTTCAGTTAGGAATAATCGCGCCTGGGATAAACCTTGGCTACGATCTGGCCACTGCACAAAGCTTGGAGGTTACGTTGTAGCAGTATGTGAGAGGCAGTAAACAAGTAATCTACTAATGTAGGTGAATTATAATGTGTTCAAAGCCATTAAGTACTACAGGGAGTCATAGAGCAAGGAATGGTAGGCTTAGGAGGAAACTGGGAGAAGGATGGTCTCAGGGGCGCAGACATTGTTGATTCATCCAGCAGTGTTCTTGACTTAGCACGAAGCAGGCACTGAGGATACAGCAGCCAGCAAGTGACACGCAGTCCCTCTGCCCAAGGAACGTAGGCTCTTGTAGAAGAGAGAGTAAACTAGCCAAGAGCTACAAAGGGGGGGGTAATACCAGGGTGATGTAATAGAGAGAAAACAGCTTGAGTGCAAGGAACTTGAGTTTTTTTAAGAGTAGGAATGACCCAAATGCCTCCCTTCTTCCCCACCCCCCTTTCTTTTTTTAAATGCTGTGGAAACTGGAATTTATGGAGGAGAAAGGTTATCTGTTAAGTCTCTAAGCAAGGTCACACAATGAGTCAGCCTCTCCCCTCGCACTCCAGTCTGCTAGATAAATCTCAAGGATCCTTGGAAAGGGGTAGGAAGAGACAGAGGGGCCCCTCCACCTCCTCGCCCACACTGCTGACTGTGCTGAGATACCTTTCCTGATGTTGAGTAGTGGTTACTTGCAGGCCCCAGAGCCAGCTCCTGTGAGTTCATCTCCTGGCTGCTCCACCCCTAGCTCTGTAACCTTGCGCAAGCTGTTCCCCTGGGCCTTCATTTTCTCATCTGTGCAATGGATGTAGTAACAGTACCTCATTTCTCAGAGCTGTGGTGGGTGGTCAATGACATCACGTGTGTAAGGGATTTAGTGTGTGCCTGGTCCTTAGAATACCTCACTGCTAAGCTGCTGTTTCCTATGTGGTGTGCTTCTGACATTTCAGAAGCCTGCCCTGGAAACATTTTTCCCATCCTTGACCCACCCCCAGCAGTCTTCTCTACCCTTCCAGGATCTTGGGGCCAGGACTGTTCATCAGGTGTGGTCCCCTCAGCCCTGCAAAGTGGCAGATGCTCCTTGGTCCCAGTGCCCAAGCAGAGAGATGGTTCTTCCAAGAGATTCTGTCTGCCCACCGATAGCCAGCCAGGAGGGCTGAATGAATTGCCGTGGATAGCATGAGACTGGCACGTGGTATTCACTGTATTTCTACTGCCGTTACTTTGTAAATAACGAAAAGGAATCCTGCCAGAGGAAGGGGACAGGCACTGAGATGCAGCAGTCAGCTGTGAGCAGAGGAGAAACGGGGAAAACTTCTGAGACCCCATAAATGGTTCTGAACCAGTTTGCACAGCTCCATTTACTCTGTGTGTGTGTGTGTGTGTGTGTGTGTGTGTGTGTGTGAGGAAGATCAGCCCTGAGCTAACATCTGTGCCCATCTTCCTCCACTTTATATGGGACACCGCCACAGCGTGGCCTGACAAGTGGTGCGTCGGTGCACGCCCGGGATCCGAACCTGCGAACCCCGGGCCGCTGCAGCGGAGCGCACACTTAACCGCTTGTGCCACTGGGCCGGCCCCTCCATCTACTCTTAATTTTGTAGTTGACACTGTGTGTGGCTAACTTGGCCCTGTGGTTTCTCTCCTGATTAGTGGTCTCTCAGTATAAACCAGTGGCTCTAATTTTGGGTGGGTGATGTACCCTCCTGACAGCTGTCACGGACCTTTTCCTGGGAAAAATGCATCTATAGCGGCAGGAATTCCTGGACCATAAGTCGAGAGCCCCTGCGAGGGGTGAGTTAAAACACAGGTTCTGGACGCGTGGTGCCTGGGCCAGCGGCATCACCTGGGAGCTTGTTTGAAATGCAGATTCTCAGGCCCTCTCTAGACCTGTATCAAGAAACTGCAGAGGTGGGGCCTGGCCATCTGTTTTACAGATCCTCCTGGTAATTCTGATGCATGCTGAAGTTTAAGGGCCACGAAGTTTAATGGAAGTCTCACCTGGGCATTAACACAGGCTTGAAAGAAATCAATTGAGACCTAAGGACATCTGTGCTCCTCCCCATCAGATGTTTCCTAGGAGACATTATTAGCCTTCTACCTGCCATTGAAATGACACCAAGAGAATGTGCTGTGATCCTGGGTTTTTTTTCTTGTTTTTTTTGTGAGGAGATCAGCCCTGTGCTAACATCTGCCAGTCCTCCTCTTTTTGCTAAGGAAGACTGGTCCTGGGCTAACATCCGTGCCCGTCTTCCTCCACTTTATATGGGATGCCGCCACAGCATGGCTTGCGAAGCAGTGCATCGGTGTGCGCCCGGGATCCGAACCGGCGAACCCCAGGCCACTGCAGCGGAGCGCACACACTCAACCACTTGTGCCACCGGGCTGGCCCCGTCCTGGGGGTTTTGATGATCGATGCATAGGGTGTAGATGGGATAGGGAAATACTTTGAATGAAAATGAGAGGAAGGCACCAGCCTGTGGGGTGGGCCACAGTTGAGTTAACACACATTTAGTGTCATCCTTCTGACATTGATAAAATAAGAATGGTCTAGGTTTTCAAGCCAAGACGTTTCGCCACTGAAACACCTCTCGAAATTGGATGTGAAATTAATTTCTTGGTTCTGGCTGTTGGTCTCCTTTGTGTTTTCTTTAGGAAGGGGGAAATCTCAGGAATGCAGCTGGTCAACTCTGACTCACTCCATTCTCCACACTGTTTGTTTTTGGTTCAGGGGTTCCTGGACTGTTGGTTAGTGTCCTGAGTCCAATTAGCATATCCCCAGAGAAGACAGAAAATGCTAGAGCCGCTGTCAAAATCTCGGCTAGAAAACCTACTCTGCTTTTCACCTTGGGGTCGTTGTCTCGCTAGGTGAAAAATAAGAAGTTGGTTGAACTGCTGCGAAGGAAAGTTCGTCTTGCCCAGCCGTATGCCGGTGTGTTTCTGAAGAAGGATGACAGGTAAGTGGAAGTTTTCCTTCACGCCTGCGTTGAGTCGCCCTGGAGCATGGCTCACCACAAACCCTGCCCCGTGGAGTAGCCTCTGACCCTTGACCTGAAAGAAACCAAGCAAAACCTACAGGGGGCAAGGCTGAGAGCCGACCATCCGTTTTCAGTCTGGGCTGAAGGCTCGGAGCGCTAGGCTTCACGCACTGTCAAGATGTGGGGGGATGTTAATCTCGAGGACCCGTGATGTTAAAACAAACACACCCTCGAGACCACTTCAGAGCAGAGCTAGGCGGGCAGATGTGGTGGCTCTGGG